GATTAAGGAAGACTGGGAAAGGCTTGTTACAAAAGGTGAGACTTTAGTTGAGACTTGAAGTCAGAGAAACTAGGAGGCAGAGATGAGGAGAGAGAGAGGTCTAGGCATGGGTAACAGCCAGGGTAAATGCTAGGAGTCTGGAGATGGAGTGTCCTGTGGGAGGAATGGCAAGGAGGCCACGGTTGCCAGATGGCAGAGCATGTAGAGGGGGCAGTGAGGTGTAGGAAGGCTGGAAAGGTAGGAAGGGGCCGGGTTATGAAGGGCTTTAAAAGTCAGAGAATTTTATCTTTGATCCAGGAGGTAATGGGGAGCCACTTGTGTTTATTGGGGCAGCTAGGTGGCGCCATAGTGCACAGAGCGCCAGGCCTGGAGTCAGGAGGACTCATCCTCATGAGTTCAAATCCGGCCTCAGACACTTACTAGCTATGTGACCCTGTGCAAGTCACTTCACCCTGTTTGCCTCATCTGCAAAATGAGCTGGAGAAGGAAATGGCAAACTAGTCCAATTTCTCTGCCAGGAAAATCCCAAATGAGCTCACAGGGAGTCAGACATAACTTTAAAATGACCAAATAACTGAGTTTATTGAATGGGGGAGGAGGAGAAACACAGTCACACCTGTGTTTTAGAGCAAACAGTTTGCCGACCGAGAAGATGATGGATTAGAGTGCGGAGAGACAAGGCAGGCAGAGCCCCCAGCAGTCAGACGATGAGGGCCCGCACCAGGGCAGTGGCAGTGTCAGAGGAGAGAAGGTGGTTTATACAGATGTTGCAAAGGTAGAGACTCCTTGCTCACTGATTGGTTATGGGGGTGGGGGGTAAGAAAGGGTAAGGAGTTGGGGATGACACCTAGGTTTCAAGACTGGGAAAATGGTGACACCCTTCACAATAATAAAAAAGTTAGGAAGAAAGGGAAGTTAAGGTAGGTGATGATGGGAAATGATGAGTTCGGTTTTGGACGTGCCTTACAGGACATCCAGTATGAGATGTTTGAAAAGCAACTGGAGATGTGAGCCTTCAAGATAGGAGAAAGGTTGGATCTGGGAGTTATTGGCTTAGAGATGATCATTGAGATTTGATGAGGTCACTGAGTGAAACAATATAGAAGGAGAAGAGAAGGGGGCTCAGGACGGAGCTTTGGGGGACCCCCTCAGCTAGCAGGAGTGACGTGCATGAAAATCCATTGAAGGAGACCAAGAAGGAGTGGTCAGACAATTAGGGGGAGAACAGGAGAGAGCACTGTCATAGAGACCTAGAGAAAAGACCACTGCCTCCATTGATGGTTAACTCCACCTAATAGGAAGATACTCTTTCCTAATATGAAAATCAAATTTTTCCCTGAGACTCCCACTGATTGCCCCTGGTTCTCTCCTCTGGGGCCACACAGAACAAGACATTCTTCTTTCACACAATATTTGAAGGTAGTCATCAGGCCCCATTTGAGTTTTCTCCCAGTCAAACACCCCTACTTCCTCCAACTCATCCTCCCTGCCATGGGATTGTAAGCTCCTTGAAGGCTGCCCTGGCACTTAGCACAGTGCCTGACACATAGAGGGTAGTTAATAAATGTTTACTGACTGACTGACGGCCTTCCATCAGCTTGGTCGTGCCGCTCCGAATGCTCCCCAGTTTATAGACATCCTTCCTAAACTCTGGCACCCAGCACAGAATTCCTTCTGTGTTCCCTTCACTAGGCTGGGACCTGACATCATGGCAGCAGAAGGTCAATTGTTTCCAGGGCATAACAGTCTAGAGATGATGTGGTCTTTGAGATGACATACAGGTCTTGTGTCACTTCCCTTAGTTTGAGGCCGTGGTTGGGGTGGTGGAAAGAGAGGAGAGTGGGGACATGCGAGTTTATCTCTTAGGAAAAAGAGGAACAGGAAAAGAAAACCAAAGTGGGGGAAGGTCTGGTTTCAGAGCCTAAGTATAAGCTTTGACCTTTGGAACACAGGGAGTTGGGGGGTGGGGTACTTTCCAGATAGCTCAGTTGTGATTCAAAGACACCCCAGGCTATCTTTGGGATGTCGAGTGATTTACCCCAATCTTACAAATAATAATTTTTCTCATTGTTATGATTTTATTCCTCCCTCTGATGCCTCATGGTGGCACCAAGTGACCATCGCTTCTCAAAAACTGTACCAGTGGAAAGCAGCTCTGGCACGCCCTACCAGGCAGGATGGATTTCAAGTCAGCGACACTCTGTGGGTTGTAGTGTTGTCCACAGAAAAGCTCAGCTGGCTCTAGGCAGTTTCAGCCACTAGGGCAGGCGGAGGGAACCTGTGGTCTTCTAGGTCCTCAAAGGGCCACACTTGTGGACGTAGAGCACCACACGTGGTCTTGAGGCTGCAGGTTCCCCACACCTGCCTAGCCTATAAAATTCTAGCTTTTTGTGGGCCTTAGCTCTTGGCCAATTTACGAGGCTAAAAAGCCTACTATGTGATGAGTTCTATGTACCTTTTATCCTATTCCAATTCAACTGGGCTTCTTCTGCTTCCCAGTTCTCTAGCTCAGTGGTTCTGTGGTCTGAGGACCTCTGGGGGTCCCTGAGAACCTTTCATGGGGTCTGTGAAGTGAAAACCACTTTCATAATTACACTAAGATGTTCTGATTTCTAATAAATATAACCCATATAAACAAAAGTTCTCTGGGTAGAGGGGTCTTCAGTGATTTTTGAGAGTATCAAGGGGGTCCTGAGAACAAAAAATTTTAGAATTGCTACTCTAGGTGATTTGCAGGTTATTCAGATATCTCTGGGAAGTGGTTTTACAAGGCAACCACTAGCAAGTTAACAATTCTTCCCCTCCCCCTCCTCTTAGATGTGTATGTGTAGGGGTGGGGGGGGGTGATGCGGTGCATGTTATTAAATCTCCCTGCTGTTTTCCTCTATCCTGCCTGCTTCCCAGGGATATAGTGAGAAGATATTAGATACCTTGTGAGCCTGAAGGCACCATAAGAAATGGGAATTGCTATCATTATTATATTGTTGTTATATTTATCATTATACAGCACCATAGTGATAATGGGGACACAGAAACCTTGTCAGACCAGGGGCTCTGAGAGGGCAGGAGGCTTGTCTTTTGTTATGGAAAAGGGAATAAACTTAGCCTAATTGCCCAGCCTTCCAGAAAGAAGGCCCAGAAGTGCAGCTAGGTGGCACAGTGGATAGAATGCTGGTCCTGGAGTCAGGAGGTCCTGGGTTCAAATGTACCCTCAGATACTTTCTAGTGACCTGAGCAAGTCACTTCACCCTGCTTGCTTCAGTATCCTCATCTGTCAAATATGTGGAGAATGAAATGGCAAAACAGTTCAATATCTCTGCCAAGAAAACCCCAAATGGGGTCACAAAGAGTCGGATACAACTGATTGACAATAAGAAGAAGGATCCGTCCCAGTTTTTGGTGTGGAAAATCCAAGAAAATGAGTTTAAGTCTCAGGACGCCCATCATTTTGAGAGGCAGCATGGTATATAGTGCATAAACCACTGAACTTGAAGTCAGAAAGACCTGGGTTCAACTCTTGCCCCAAACATGTACTAGCTGGGCGAGTCATTTTATTTCCTTGAGCTTCAGTTTCCTCATCTGATGGCTAACAATAATACTAGTAATAAGCATTTATATAGTACTTTAAGGTTTGCAAAATAATTTATATATGTTAAATCATTTGATAACTCTTAAGGTCCTTTCCAGCTCCAAATCTATAATGACATGACCTTCTTCTGATAAACACACACACACACACACACACACACACACACACACACACACACTCATACTCACTCTAACTCTGTGACCAGGGGCAAGTCACATAAGCCACCTGAGCCTCAGTTTCCTAATGTGTAAAATGGGAATACTAGTTAGCATTTATGTAGCACTTTAAAGTTTGCAAAATACTTTATAAATATTACCTCATTTGTCCCTTACAACCACCCTGGGAAGTGGGTATTAATATTATCCCCATTTTACAGATGAGGAAACAGGCTGGAAGAAGAGCCTTCTTTGGGGGTTTTCTTATAAAGTGCTCATTTTGAGGCTGTAAAAGGGCAGTGAAACTAATTCGGAAAACATATCTCCACCACAGCTGGTGGGTGGGTGCTAATAGCAGGTACCCAGTCTCCACCATCATTCACCTCACCCTGCAAACAATGACCAAATAGCCCTTGGGAAGAGAAAAAGAAAGGGGGAGCGCTTAGAATCTCATGTAACAGAGTACGGTTGTGCTTTAAGAAATGCTGAAGGGAGTGATTTCAGAGAAAACTGAGAAGACTTGGCTGAACTGATGCAGAGAGAAGTGAGCAGAACCAGGAGAACAGTGTATATGATAACAGCAATGTTATAAAAATGAACAACTTTTAAAAACTTCAGAATTCTGATGAATGCAGTGCCCAACTATGATTCCAGAGGGCTTGGAATGAAACAGAAAATTCACCTCCTCACAGAGAGGTGATGGACCCAGGATGCAGATGAAGACTTAGCTCTTTTATGGATGTGGCCAGTGCAGGAATTTGTTTTGCTTGACTATGCATATTTGTCATGAGGGCTTTGTTTTTCTTTCTTTTTCATTTGAAGGTAGGGGAGGTGGAAGGGAGAGAGTGGATTTTGGTTAATTGGAAAAAAAATTAATTTTTATAAAGAATCATGACAGAGTTTCAGATCGGGAAGGCACTCTGGCAGCCATCTAGTCCAATCCATACCAGAAAAAGAACTCCAATTACAAGATACTAGACAAGCAGTCACCCAGCCTTTGTCTGAAGACCTCCACTTCACAAAAAAATGCATTCCATTTTCAGATACTTCTAATTGTTAGAAGTTTTTTTGTTTTTTTTCTGAGATCAAGCCTAAAGTGGTCTTTTTGTAACTTCCACTACTCCAGGTTCTGTCCTGGGGGGAAGGGGTGTCCACTTAGCAGCCCATAGCTAACCCCACCCCCACCCCACCCCACCCCCAGTCTTCCCTCCAGGTTAAACATCCCCAGTTATAGCAACTCATCTGTCTTTGTCATGAACTAATTTGTGAGTGAACCAAACATCAGATGCCTGGGCCGGCTTTTGCTACAATCGTGGGTCTCGGGGAGGAGTATAACGTGCACAGAGCGGGGCAGACAGGAGGCATGCTGGTGGCCGCTGCCGTGGAAGATGAGTGGGGGCCCCCTCTCAAGCCCAGGCAGTCACAGAAACATCTTTGATTGGTGGGAGATCTGAACATTTATCAGCTCTGAGGAGGTCGGGGAGTGGGAAAAGGAAATGACCTTGTGTGATCCAAGTTGGTGAAACCTCTCCAACCAGCCTGGCTGAAAGCAGGGAAGGCAGAGGCCGGCTCTGTTGTGGGCCCCTGTTTGGGGTCGGCCCAGCAGCTTCCTGACGTCAGTGCAGTTGTCATCTCCCCAACCTGGACGCTTCCTCCACCTCGGGCCTGCTGGGTACTATCAGAGAGGCAGGGAAAAGAGTGATGAGCTCTTTTTCCATGAGAGTTTGCATCTGACCTTTATTTATTTTGTGCTGCTTGGCCTGGGGACAGTCACCTCTCTGGGCCTCCTTTTTCTCATCTGTAAAGTAAATCTTAACCAGCAGAGACAAGACCTTGCTTTACTTTTGAAGCAAGACAAGATGGTGCACCTGTAAGAATAAGAGGAAAGAAGGGAGGAAAGACATTAGTAGAGAAATACATAGAAAGTCAAGCAGGAACTGAAAATCGAATTAAATTTAATTAAAAAAACAGCATAAGTCAAGCAGGGACACACTAGATGTTGTTGCTTGGAAACCTTGGAATATAGAGTCTCATTCACATCCTGTGCACTGGTTCAGCCTGAGTGTTTCTGGATGACTGTGAACCAGAGAGCATTAGAAGGGCACCAGTCCCCTTCCCACCTCCCACAGGGGGCAATTCGCTCCCCCTCACCTCACAACCCTCCAAGCCCTGTTATTTATACATCCAATAAGAACTTAGTACTTGCTTTGCTGTCTGACATCAGGAGCCTAGTTCTGGATCATGGGAGTCAGAGCCGAAAGGAACTTTATAGCTCATTAAGGCCAACTCTTTCATTTTACAGAGGAAACTGAGGCCTAGGGAGGTGCACCTAACTCATACATAGGCAGTCTGTGTCAGAAGTGAGATTGGAACCCAGATCTCCTGACCCCAGAGCTGGTGCTCTTTCCATCTACCTCCCAGGGTTGTTGTGAGTATCAGATGAGGTATTTGTAAAGTGCTTAGTTGTGCCTGGCATATAGTAGGCAATCTGTAAGTGTGAGCAATTATCATCACCACCACCACTATCATCATCACTACCACCATCATCATCATCACCACCACCACCACCACCACCATCATCATCATCTTCATCATCATCATCATCATCATCACTCTATCCCATTGTCTCCTAGATCCCATAATCTCTAGATTAGAATCTCTCAGATTCTAATATATGGTAATATCAGTTGGTTTTTTCAAGTACACATCTTCTCTCTCCCTAACTAGATTGTAAACATTTACTATCTATGGCATTATGAGCATATCATTTTCTCTCTCTGAGCCTCAGTTTCCTCATGTAAAATGGGGAGGAAAATATTTACACTACTGATCTCACTGGCGTGTTGCAACAGAAATGCTTGGGCAACCTCACAGTGCTCTAAAAGTAGGAGATGTTATTGTTATTAAAGATGATGATAAGAACCTGGACAGGCCCGGGAGCAAAGGAACCTGTGTATGCTTCTTTGTGTGCCCCATATAACCCCCAGTTCAATGTCTGTTGAAGGAGGCAGTGTGATACCAAGGGAAGACCACTTGACTCTGAGTCAGACATTGTTTAGTTGCTTTTTAAGTATACCTAATTCTCCATGACCCTATTTGGGGCTTTCTTGGCAAAGATACTGGAGTGGTTTGCTATTTTCTTCTGCAGTTCATTTTACAGATGAGGAAACTGAGGCACACAGGGTGAAGTGACTTGCCCAGGGTCACACAGCTAGTGTCGTGTCTTTTTTTTTTTTTTTTGGCAAGGCAATTGGGGTTAAATGACTTGCACGGGGTTACACAGGTAGTAAGTATCAAGTGTCTGGTCTGAGACCAGATTTGAATTCAGGTCCTCCTCACGCCAGGGCTGGGTGCTCTATCCACTGGGTCACCTAGCTGAGGACCTGAGTTCAGTCCCACCTCTGGCTTACCTCCTACCTCTGTGTGAACTCAGGCAAGTTGCTGACCCTGCCTGGGCCACAGTTTCCTCCTCATGAGGTGGGCTGGACTCAGGTTTCTGAGGTCCCTTTGTATAATGCCCCAAGTTGTATTAGCCTGTGAGCATAGCACATTCAGGCCTAAGATAGCCTTCAAGTACTCACTCTTAACTGTCTCCCTGTGTGGTGGGCTGTGTGTTTGATCTAGGTCTGGAGTGCGTTTTCAGAAATGGAAGCCTCCATCACTCAGACAACCTTGAGAGCATCCAAACCACTTTGGGAGGTTTTTAGCCACAAGGGCCCTCATGCCCAAAGGAAGGAACATCAAGGGTCTGGGTAATTTCACCCACTCAAGCTCTGCCCTCAGATCTACGTTGTTGGAGGTGGGAGGACTAGGGGGAGCCTGAACCGATATGCTGATTGCCCTCGGGGCTTCATGTGCCTCCTGTTGACTTCTGGCCTCTGGGGGCAGTGGCCAGTGGTGACCCCTATAGTGGACAGTCTGAGCTGCACAGGAGGTCATGGGGAAGGCTTGCTGTCTGTTAGGCAAAGCCATAACCAGCATTTTCACTCCTAGACAAACTTCACAAAATGAAATAGCAAAATAGCACAAAAAACTACTTCAAATCAACTTTTAAAAACAAGCCCCATAGTGGTGGTAGAGAGGGGAGGACAGAGACCTCAGGACTCATCCTTTGCCACGGGAAAATAGCAAATTGGGGTACAACCACAAAGGGGTGAAGCTTGCCCCATGTAACAACTGGCTGGTACAGCCAGTAGAATGTGGTCAGGAAGACCTGAGTTCAAATATGGCCTCAGATACATATTAGCCGTGTGACCCTGGGCAAGTCACTTAACCTCTGTTTGCTTTGGTTTCCTTAACTGTAAAAAGGGGATAATTATAACACCTACCTCCTGGGTTCTTGTGAAGATCAAATAAGATGATAATTAGCACAGTGCCTGGTACATACTAAGCACTATACAAATGTTAGCTATTATTTAAGGAATTTGTCCTTTGAGCTAATTTTTCTTGCTAACTAGGTGCTAACTTGTTAGCTGTGCTAACCACAGTTGTTTCTATGCCACTGTAGTGTGTAAGTGCTATCAGCATCCTCTAAACTTCAGTACCCTAGAACAAAGGCCCAGTTGCTCTACCCTAGTTACAATTTTATTGCCAAGCCTTTGGCTGGATGCCTACACATCATCACCTATTGGACATCAGCATTTGATGGCTCGGGAGTCACAAATGACCATGTCCCTGCTTAAGTAGGAATCCAGTACTTCAGGCTACAATAAAAATGTATTTACCAGCTTGTTCAGTTCATTTCTTTGAAATAAGTGCTTAATGAATACTTATTTCCTTCCTTCCTGTAAAATGGGCATTATACCATTTTCTCTACCTAAAATCTAGACCCCAAGGAATGCCCTGATTTTACATTTTACAGGTGCTTACGTATGAGAGGCATTGGCCCCAATGACAGCATAGAAAATCAAGACTTGGAGATTGAGTCTCAAGGCTGTATAGAGATAGAGACAATGAGAGAGAAATCTCGGAAATCAGGGCAGGTCCCACATCCTAGATCTCCTTGGACTCTAGGGTGTTCTGTACTCCGGAGAAATCAGTCAGCCAATCAATAAGCATTTATTAAGCACTTGCTAGGTGCTAAGCACCTTGTTAGCCATAGAGATTAAAAAAGACGGGCACCAGACTCCACAGCCAAGAAGCATTTATTAAGCACTTACTAGGTGCTTAGCACCTTCTTAACCATAAAGATAAAAAAGACGCTGCAGACTATAAAACCAGGACCTGCCTTCAAGGAGCTTCCATTCTAAGAAAATTCCGGACAAGCTTTCGCTGCTTTCGAAGACGATGATCAGCCGCTGCGGCCTCGGAACCTGGACGCGTGGCGGTGCGCAGGCGCGGGACTCCCCTTGAAAGCAGAGGACTAGGACCGGTGCGGTGCCTTGTAGAACGGCTTACTGGAGCAAAATGGCGGACCTGGCGAAGGAAGAAAAGGCTGACATTTCACCACCCGTCTTTGTGTTTCAAAAGGATCAAGGACAAAAGAGATCGGCTGACGGTTCAACTCCAGAAGAGGGAGAAGATTCTGTTCGAGAAGATGGAAGTTGCTGCCCTCTTATGAAACGGGAAAGGACCTCTTCATTAACTCAGTTTCCTCCATCCCAGTCATTATCAAAACCCAGTGTTTTTATGCCATCAACCTTCTGTGAGCCATCTGCAGGCAATTCTGACTCAGAACCAGAGAAAAAGAGCAGTGGATTCCGACTGAAGCCCCCCACACTTCTCCATGGTCAGGCACCCAGTGCAGGTCTACCAAGCCATGAGCCTAAAGAACAGCAGCGGATAAGTGTGCTACACCCCGCAGTGTTACAAGCTCCGCGGCCTGTGGCACTGTCGCAAACAGTTCCTAACAGTGGCACCAGTGGTGTCAATGTATCCTCAGACTGCGTAGGAGCAGCTACATCTGAGTCAGTAAGTAGCAGTGCACCGTGGAGTCCGTCTGAGTCCGCTGACAAGGAGGAAAAGCCCCAGGAAAACGAGTCCAGCAGTACTTCGGAGAATGATACCTGTGAGAGGAAAAAGCAAATTGCACAGCAAGCATTCGTATTTGGGCAAAATTTGAGGGACAGAGTTAAGCTAGGACGTGAAAATGCCGAACCACCTGACCTACAGAATGCCGGCCATCCGAGCTCTGAAACGCCGTCTGTAACAAACTATTTCCTACAGTACATCAGCTCCAGTGTAGAGAACTCAAATAATGCTGATGCCTCCAGTAACAAATTTGTGTTTGGACAGAACATGAGTGAAAGGGTGTTGAGTCCACCAAAATCGAATGAGTCTAGTATAGATGCCAGCCAGGACAACACTGGTGCTGAATCTGGCTCAGAATCCTCCTCCCCAAAACGTACTCCTGAGAAAGCTCAGAGTGCTTCAGAATCCCTGGCGGAGTCAGCCACTGCCTACACCAAGGCCGCAGCCAGGCAGTGTTTACTGGAAACGGTGCAAGTGATCACCGGGGAAGAGGCAGAGAGCAATGTGTTACAGATCCGATGCAAGTTGTTTGTGTTTGACATAACGTCACAGGCTTGGGTGCAAAGAGGCAGAGGACTACGGAGACTTAATGACATGGCATCAACAGATGATGGGCCGTTACAGTCCCGGCTAGTCATGCGGACCCAGGGAAGCCTGCGGCTCCTCCTCAACACCAAACTGTGGGCACAGATGCAGATCGACGAAGCCAGTGAGAACAGCCTCCGAATCACAGCCGTAGACGCTGAGGATCAAGGAGTCAAAGTGTTCCTGATCTCGGCCAGCCCCGAAGATAGAGGCCAGCTGTATGCAGCGCTGCATCATCGGATCTTGGCGTTGCGGAGCAGGGTACAGCAAGAACAGGAGACCAAGATCCAGGCTCCAAAGCCTGAAGCGACACAATCAAATGAGGAGGAGAGTGGTGATGATGTTCCGCCTCCTGATGCATCAGCTGGAGGGAGCATCGATGATGAAGGGGATGGGCAGAAGGTGGGGAGCACATAGCAGCTGGAAGCCCATCTGCTTGCGCACCTACCCCCCCACTCCCGCGGGCGCCTCGATCGTTCCTAGCGGCTCCAGGACTTAGGAAGCCTGCAACCCTGTTCTGTTTGTTCGTTTCTTTGGTCAGGATCAGTAGATTCCACACAAGGCAGACTCAGAAAACTGCCTGAATATGGTTTGGGACATGAAAGCTTATCGTATTGATGAGCAGAAAAATAACCTTCCTTCCCCTTCTTTTCATTGAAATGGCACGCTGACTTGTCACACCCAACCCCTCCTCCGCACCTGAGGATTCCTTTTCTTCAGTAGCTCATGTGGCACCGGCCTCCTGAAACTCATTTTGCATCAACCCCAGGACTTTAGCCATAGCTCTTGGGTCTGTCTGTCCTCCTCTTGCTACCACCTGATTCTTGGAGCCCCTGCCCAGCTGCAGGGAAGCAACACTGAGCAATTTCTATTCCCCTAAATCATCACCCTCAAACTGCTCCACCTCCCAAGTTTGGGCTCCTTGGAGAATGGACAGGCTGAGTATTTTGCATCTTGTCCATCTTGTCCATCTCGCCGTAAGGGCAATCCGGCCAGCCTCAGGGCCCCACTCTCTCCACTGGTCCGTTGTCCAGGTCCAAGCCCCCAGGCAGCATTGAAGGGCCCATTGGGTGTTTCACTAACTCCTCCTTCCCCTCCTGTGTCCAATATCATTTTAGGGGGGTTTCTATTGTGCTGATCCTTTTTTAGAAAGGTTTATTTTTGTTGGTTTTGAAATTTTTTTTGTTTTTAATAAAATGCTTTTGTGTGTTGAGAAAGTGAAGCTCTATTGTTTTGTACTTTTCTGTTACTATTTAAGAGAGACCTAAGCCACTCTATATAATAGGTGTTTTATACCATTTGCTTAGTCAGTTTTGTTCTGGCCAGGTGCAAGTTCGAAGATAGATGCCCACAGGTTGCCCAGTAACAGCTAGTGGGGAACTCCTGTTAGCCTCTCGAAAGTAATGGGTCTTGGTCTTTCCAACAGTGGGGCCAGTCATGGAGGTAGCATCTTTTGGAGTTGTTTAATTTTTCTTTCTTTCCCCCTTCCTTTGATATTTTGATGCAATGACTCCTTCTTTTCCCTTGCTAATTCCTATTTGCATGAACACTATCTTGGGAGCAGCTGAGATTAGGGTGCTAAAGAGGTTGGGAGAGGCAGCTATGTGGTGCAGTGGAAAGAGCACCAGCCTTGAAGTCAGGAGGACCTGAATTCAAATCCAGCCTCAGACCAAACGCTTGACACTTACTGTGTGACCCTGGGCAAGTCACTTAACCCCAATTGCCTTAAAAAAAAAAAAAAACCAGCTGGGCTCCCTCCCAGTTCACCAACCAGAGGGGAAAGGGACTGTTTCTCCAGCTTAGTCTTCGGATATGGGCAGGATGAAGGGAGGGGAATTGCTCAGCCTTGGCCTGTTCACTTCACCCCATGCCATATCAGTTTCACGTGTCCTTCCAACCTATGGCGCAAACTAGAGATAACTCCAGACCCACTCCCACTGTGCCAGAGTGAGAACAGCTACCCCATTGACCAGCATCAAGAAAGATAACGGATATAATCCTGATGTATCCTTGGAGTTTAGGGACCGTTACAAGTAAATTTGTGATACCTTTTTAATACAACTGGATTGGATTTGAGTTCTTGGTGTTCTCCACAAATAGGACACTCTTCCTGGTCCTTCCCACAGTACTGGGAACTGAAATCCCCTCCATGTAGGATTTTCTTTGGACTACTCTCATCATGGGATGGTGATTAGCAGTTTCTCTGGGAGGGCAACATCCCATCGGTGACATCAGACCTGAGCTGCCAACAAATAACTTTGTCATTATCTTCTGGGCTTATTCCTTTTCTCCCCTTCTCTCTCCCAGCACTGCCTTGATATCAGGACATTTAAACACATTTTTAGATTAGTTAAAGCCCCCCTTGGATGACAAAACTCACAGGTTCACAGTCTTCAGGTTCTGCAGGTTAGCTTGGTGCTGTTTCCTCACCTTCCCCAATCCAAATGGTCTCACACTGACTTGGCCAAAGCCCAGAAAGAAGATGAGACCAGTAGGTCTTGGGTCATGTTGGAAAGATCCAGCCGTGCTCCCACACAGAGGTCACCCACTGTTAGGGTCATTCTTCAAACTTGTCAGCTGCTTAGTGGGAACATGCGGCTTCACGTGGAGGCCTTGCGGAGTTCTTTCTGCGTAGTGAAGGGGGACAGATTCCACTTCAGCCCATACAAGAAACTTCTTGTGAATTTGGCCCAGAATTATCTTGAAGCCCCATCCAATGAAAGACATAGGCCAGAGCTAAACTTTATTACACTTCCTGCTTGCAGCCTTAGAAAACTAGTGACAGGTAAAACCAGATAATGTCCATGTGTTTTGGAAGATTTATGTAAGATTGCCACATGAAATGTATTTGGGAATTACATTAAAACTTTTAACAAAAAGAAAATTCTGAAGAGCCCATTCTTCTCTCCACTTCAATGGCACCCAGAATTAGAAGAAGGATGAAAGTCCTGAGGATTTTTTTTTAATCATTTTGTTACCTGCAAGATCAAATTCAGGCGTAAAGTAAGTGTTTGTGCAAGATCATATATAGCTAATGGGACCTTAGAAGACATCTGGCTGTTTTATAGACAAGGGAACAAAGGGTCAGGGAGGTCATTTTTTTCCCAGAATGCATTCATGAAGTTCCTACCATGTGCTTCCACACACAAAAGCAACTCTTGCCCTCTAGGAGTTTACTGGCTGCTGGAAAGGGGAGAGGCTGATGGAGTGGGGTGACTTGACCAAGGTCATAGTAGAAGAATTGGTATTCAAAGCTTGGTTCTCTGCCTCCCATCCTGGATGTGCTGACCCCGTCGAATAATGCCCCCACCATCTTCTTTCAGAATGTCTGCAAACCCGTGGAAGAGGAGAAGCGCCAGGTCCCCACACTTAAGGAAATCAAACAGAAAATTGACAACTACAATAGCAAGGAGAAAAACTGCCTGGGCATGAAGCTGGTAAGTCAAGAGGCCCTGATTCCCACGTCCAGAGAGCCTGTTCTCCCATGTAGGGTCTCTGCCTTCTTTTCTGTAGGTTCTAATTCTGCTCAAGGGCTCATTCCCTATGCGACCTCCATCACTCTGGGCCTCAGTTTCTTCATCTGTAGAAGGAGTAGGTTGGACTAGATGATCTCTAAGCGCCATATTATAAGAGCCTGTTTGTTGCTTAGGTAGAGGCACTAAGTACAGGCCGGGGTGCTTGGGCACTCGGGGCGGGGGGGCATTGCATGCTATGGGGGACCAACTGGTGAGTCCTGCCCTCTGCTGGTGATTGAGCAACTATGGACCCTAATGGTTCTCAGAAAGGATGAAGGGATGGAGGAACAGTGTAGCCTAGTGGACAAGTCACAGGCTCCAGAGTGTCTTAAAGAACATTTTACAGATGGGGAAACTGAGGCCCAGAGAGATGACATAACTTGGGATCATACAGGCAGTGGTTAGCAGAGCTGGGATTAAAGCCCTCCTTTTAAGAGCCCATGCTCTTTGCCCTGTACCATGCTGTATCCTGCAGCCTGGTAGTTCATTTACTGGGGCTGAATTCTCTCCTTTGGGTCCAACCTTTGGACAAGCAAGATGTAGAAGGAAATCCCAAGTGACTGTCCCTGATTGTGAGACCTGAGGCCCAGGGGGCCCTGCTTTGTGACGAGTCTTAAGAGCCACAGTCCAGAACCTCCCTCAAATAGGGTGCAAGTTCTTTTGAACACATCAGGACATTTGTATGGTGGCCTAGAGAGGCCTAGTGGCCTACAGTCTTTGCGTTTTTCAGAAGGGGATTCAGAAGGGGATGGAGGGAGAGCAATTGCCATCAATTAGTCTACCCGTGCCAACTGTGTGTCAGGCACTGTACTTGGTGCTGGGGATACAAAACAACAAAAATATGAAACACCCCCTTCCTTTAAAAGCTTATATTCTAAAGGGGGAAGCAACATGCACAAATGTTAGTATAAGAGAATAAATTAGTATATGGAACATAATTGTACAATATGGGGAAGAGGCATTGGCAATTGGGAGAAGGACGATTAGGGAAAGTAGGTGGTTGCGTTTATGCTGAGTTTTGAAAGACACTTAAGGATTACAAAGGATCCTTACCTAAAACACTGCCCTGGTTTGGGAATTTTGCCTGGCTTGTTAGCAAAGCAACCTCCAACACCTTCCCTTTCCTCTCAGAACTGAAAGAGGCAAGGGGAAGCCCAGGGAGAGAATGCCTGGTTCAGAAAAAGGGTATCCCTTTCCAGGATTTCTCCCCTTCCCAGATGAAGTCTGGCAGGCCTGGGAACACCCAACAGGGTCCACAGAGAGAGCTCTGCCCCACTGTAGAAGGCATCCCCCGAGGAGGGCCATCACACAAGTGCATTGACTCGTCTCCTCCCTCCCTCCGATGCTTTTGTGTAGAGCGATGATGGTACCTACACGGGCTTCATTAAAGTGCATCTGAAACTTCGGAGGCCCGTGACAGTACCGGCTGGGATCCGGCCCCGGAGCATCTACGACGCCGTCAAGGAGGTGAACCTGGCCGCCACCACAGACAAGAGGACGTCCTTCTACTTGCCGCTGGACGCCATCAAGCAGCTGCACATTAGCAGCACCACCACAGTCAGCGAAGTCATCCAGGGGCTCCTCAAGAAGTTCATGGTAGTGGACAATCCCCAGAAGTTTGCTCTGTTCAAGCGGACGCACAAGGATGGACAAGGTAGGAGGAGCAACCCACCTCCCATCTCCAGCGTCACCTCCAGTACAGGGGGGAGAAAGGGGGCTCTCCCGGGAGGAGGCAGGGCGGCCAGCCCTGGAGCTGCATTTCCTAGTTTGTGCCACCGGGGAACTGCGAGGTTTCATGTAGTGAGAATAGCGGTTCCGTGAGGAAATCTCAATGCCAGCAATATTTTCACTCCCAAATGTTAAATGTAAAACTCCATTTGTGTCAAGAGTACTTTTCCCTGGCATGCTTTGCAAATTAGACCTTGGAATCTGAAAGCCCTGGGTTTGAGCTCTACTCAAGACACTAGCTATCTGACCCTGGGAGAGTCACTCACCATCTATGAGTGCCAGTTTCTTGATCTGTAAAATGGAGATAATATAATCCATCTCCAAAAGCTGTTTGTGAGGCTCAAGGTGAACCTTCACTTGCTTTATAAATGTAAGTTCCTAATATAGGCAGCAATTTTCTGATATGAAAAAAGGTTTAATGATCCTTTTTGTTAGAAAATTTCCCTAACATCTCTCCCTCTAATCTTAGGGCCAAACTGAGAAGAGAAAGTCTTACATGCCTCCTACACCAACATTGAAGTGTTTTATCAATATACTTTCAGGCCCCCAAATGTTCTGTGGGCAAACTAGCTTGCCCTAAAATATTCAGATCTTCAGTAAAGTCAACATCCAAATAAACCCACCATCACAGAGGCCAGGAGGAGGCACCCTCAGCTAGTGGCCTCCCAACTCCTATCTTCCTCTGGACTTAAATTTTCTAATCTGTGTAATGGATTTGGACCCTCCCATTCTCTGAACAGGATGTGGAGAAAGGGAATATGTGTTCTAAGGCAGATATGTTGCCATGGACACCCACAAAATCATCTTGCTGTATAAAGTATCATCATTAGAGGCAGCATGGAGTAGTGCCTAGAATGACAGATTTGGGAGTCAGGAAGACTCGAGTTCAAATTTGACATTTACCAGCTGTGTGACCCTGGGCAAGTCACTCTCTGAACCTCAGGCAGCTCTCTTAATACTACAAGCTGTGAACTGCCGTGGAATCTAGAGGTGGAAGAAGTTCACGCTCCGGCTAAATCACTGGATCACAGAACTAGAACTGGGAGGAACTTTAGAGTTCACCTAGTTCAAAGCTCATTTTACAGGTGAGGAAACTGAGGCCCAAAGACATTAAATTGCTTGCTCCAGGTTATAAGTCAGGTGAACAACTGGCAAAGCTGGGATTGAACCCAAGGCCTCCAACTACAGACCCTCGGTTCTTTCCACCATACCATAGTGTTTCTTTACGTGTTATTATTTTTAGTATTTTATTTTTTTCTCAATTACATGTAAAAACAATTTTTAACATTCATTTTTAAAAATTTTGAATTCCAAATTCTCTCCCTCTCTGAAATGGTAAGCAATTTGATATAGGTTACATGTTGTTAATAAGGAGCATCTTGGGATTTAACACTGCTAAAAAGTCTTATGGGCCAATGCCTAGTTTTATAATGCCTAGTTAACTTCTGTGTCCTCTTGGTCTCCAACAAAGTTGGCAGCACAGCATGGTGAGAAACATCCTGGGACGAGAGTCAAAGGACCTTGGATCCACAGCTGGCTGTCACAAACTGACTGTGACCTCAAGCAAATCACTTTATCTCTCTGGATCTGATTCCTCATCTGTAAAATGAGGAGGTTAAACTAGATAATCCCTTAACATTCTGGCATGGCCTTCTATCATTGCCCTCAGCAGCTTAACACCCCTAGACAGACCCCTGCCCTTCCTCTCTGAGATGAGGGACCCTCAATCCATTCTCTCATCTTCAGTGCTATTTCAGAAACTCTCCATCACCGACTGTCCCCTTTACCTTCGCCTGCTGGCCGGCCCTGACACAGACATCCTCAGTTTTGTGCTAAAGGAGAACGAGACGGGAGAGGTGGAGGTAGGTCCGACCCTATCACTAATCCTGCGCCTCTGAAGCCTACTGGGTTGGTTGTGGGTGGGTTGTGTTGACTCATCTGGTTGGCCCCATTGAAAAAAAAAATGCCACTTTTCCAGTAACTTTTTGATTTGTTAAATGATTTTTTTAATTGCTTTTGCTCTGAAGTGATAAGTGGGGCAAGTGGGTCACAGGTGGAAAAAAATGATGTGAGCATTGTAGTTTTCAGACTAACCAGGCGGAATGCAAACAGAACTATAGGATCCAGAGAAGGGAACGGACTACAAGACACCAAGGGGGTTCTAAAGCCAACTGCTAACCTGCATACTGTGCTGCCGCCGTTCCTCTCTAACTCTTCCCTTCTCCCTCCACAGTGGGATGCTTTCTCCATCCCGGAGCTCCAGAACTTCTTAACCATTCTGGAAAAGGAAGAACAGGACAAAATCCAGCAAGTGCAGAAGAAGTATGACAAGTTCAAGCAAAGACTGGAGGAACTCTTGAGAGATGCCCAGGGCAAACCTGGCTAACCCTGCCTGCCTCCCCTTCCTCCCTCGTCCTGGAACAGCTCCAGAGGAGAATGGATTGGATTATTATTTTGCAACAGACACTTATCTCAGGACACATCTTGCTGGGCACTCGTGTGCTCACCCTCAAGTTGTTCCAGTGGGCAGTAACTTCTCCGATGTGTTGTCTTGGGATCTTTTCTCTCGCCCCTTCCCGTGTCACCCCTCGGCCCCCAGAGACACTGTTGTGGAAGCAGTCCCGGTGTTCTAAGAGAATCTTTCTCTTGCTCTGTCAAACCACAGGCCTTTCAGAAACCCAACAGCTGCCTTGATGCATCACCAATCCAGGACCTACCACTGGTTGGCAAAGGCAGATATGGGAAAAACAAGGGAAAATGATTTTAAGGAGATGCGTATTCCTTCCTGGACCTCTGTTCTGTTCTCTCTTCCCTCCCTTCTCTTCTTGAACAGCTTTATTTATTGAGTCACATAATAAAAGAGCTGAATGTTCATTTGTGGAGACCTAGCGGGCTCAGAGTAGACCACCAGAAGTAGGAGGGAAGGAGAATAAAAGGAAAGGAGTGTGTTAGCTAGTACCTTCCCCTCCACCTTCACCCCTCCCTCAGCTACAGGTGCCTATAATTCAGGCTGAGATGCCTCCTAAAGTCACTGGCCCCTGCTAAGAAACCCTGAGCGCCTTAGCTTAGGGGTTTCCATAGAGATCATCAGTGTGAGCCTCTCCAGCACATGATATTATGAGGGTGAAATCTTAGGTGCATATGTGTGTGTGTTTGTGAGTGGGTGTGTACACATCCACATCTGTCAGAAAATTTTTCTCAACATAAATTTGATGCTGTTTCCATCCTTTTGATATTTCTCCCAAAGTGAAACTGGCCTCTTCCCTGCCCAGAGGTTTTCATTTTAAACTTTTGTTCTGGAGAAACTGAGTTGGACAGAGACTAAAATGTATTTCAGAAAATCATCTGACAAGCAACCTCCAACCTCTGGGAGCAGGGAAGAGGCTCTATTGTGCCTGAGATGCCCTGACCCAACCGTCCCAGGGCTGCTACCACTGCTCCCTCTGCCTTCTGCCTCAGGCCCTGGTCCTGTGGGATTCCAGTTGTGGCCAGAAGACCTTGCCTTTCTCAGAGAAGTAGGGAATTACAAACTCAACCCTCCCATTCTGAAGACTGGGCACTACGCCCAGAGTGACCCCTAAATGATGGAGAGCCCCAGGGGCCCTTGTCTCCCCTTTGACCTCAGTGCCTTTCTGTCTTTAAAGGGGGTGTGGGAATAAGTTCAAGGTTTCCAGATGCTGCTTGCCGGGTGCTAGACAGCAGATGGCTGGCAGAGCGGGTTGAGGAAAGCCCCCCTTCCCAGCTACCAAAGGGAGAATGGACTTCTCTTCCCCTATCACAGCTGCCCCTCATCCTTGGGGGTGCTGTACAGGGGGGACACGCGGCTTCCTGACTGCTACTTTGTGCTGACTCATTGGACTGGTGCAAACTTCAGTTATGAACCAACCAACCAGTTCACGTTATCAGCCAGGTATGGATAGAGACAGCATGGAGTAGTGGGCCAGCTTTCAGAGTCAGGAAGACCTGGGTTAGAGTGGCTTTGTGACACAGGGCAAGTCACTTAACCTCAGTGTCCCAGTCAACTTGCTAAAACTGTAAGCTGTGAGCAGATGCTGATGTTCATTGGTAGATATTTCCTCTGCTGATGGAATCACAGCCTTAGGCCCAGAAAACAAAAGAACACCCTTCAAGGCAAGGACAGAAGGATTGTAATTTTCAACTGAGGGTTAGACTCCAGGCCCAGCCCTTAAGAGACCCTTTTTTCCCTTGCCTTCAATTTCCAAATCCCCAAAAGCCCATTACTCCATAGGTAAAGGTAAGCTGATGTTCCCAGCTTCTCCAAGGCCTCAAAGGGTGGCCTTTCTTTCTCCTCACCTCTCCCACTAAACATCCACCCTCATCACTGCCTCTGGAGAATACAGTGTGTGTATATACATACATAGATACATTATATATAATATAAATTATATATATGTATGTATATGTATACCCACATGTAGTCTTTATATCTGTAGAAGAAACAGCAACCTATACAAATACCCCTTCTCCCCCCATCCCACATCTCACACTGTACCCTCCCCTTCAAAAAAAAAAAACAAAAAAACCCTCCTCTCCCTCTGGTTTAAATTAAGGGAAAAAACCCATTTCTCTTAATCCTGCATGTCTACAACCTTGGTATAAGGCATGGCTCTCGCTGCAACTGCCGTGAATGCTGCTGAAAACCTCCCTCCAATGGGAAAGGCGATTTTATTTTTAAAGGGAATAAAAAAAACCTATTACATAGATATATATATATAGAGATATACAAATATAGTACATAGCTATATAGAGAGAGTGTGGGAGAAAGCATGGGACAGCTCAGATTCTAAAGAAAGCACAGCTAGATTTTGGACCTGGGCTGAGGTCTAAAGCTCTTAAAAAAAAAAAAAAAGTATGAAAAAAGAATTCCTTCCCTCTCAGAGGTGGATGTGACTGCTGGCAGTGCCTTCCTAAGGGTCATGTTGCTTTGTGTGTCTGTGTGTATGTATATGTATGTGTATGTGTGTGTGTGTGTGTGTGTTGTATGAACTTTTTAAAAAATGTTGGTCTGAGTTGTAAAAAAATATACATATATATATGAAAATAAAAAGCTTGTTGCAAAAGTGATACATCTGGTACTATTGTTTCATCTGGCTTTTCTGGCTTACCCCAAGTCACCACCTTCCTCTGGGTGGGGAATAGGATCAGAGAACATGATTTTTTAAAAATTCCCTTGGGACAGAATATTGACCAAATAGTTTGAAGACTTTAGTTGCCTAAATGTGTATGAAGGGTGGTGTGATCAGCTGTTCTCCATCTTAATTATGACCCCATGCGGAAGCAGTTCAACCCTATACTGTCCTCTTCTCTCAATGCCCTTGGCCCTTATCCTATAGAAGAGCCTACCCTACCAAGCCTGAGCCTGGGTTTACTCCCACTACTGCCTTTCTTCCTTCCTACTGAACAGAGGGCGTGAAAAACAAATCTTTGCTGATTTTATAGGTCAACTATAAATTTGTTCCATAATCTCAACTGGGTCCTCACTGTAGCAAGGCAATAGTTTTAAACTTCCCCATTCAATTCACAATCTTCCAAACTTTTTCATTCTTTCTCAAACCTCCCATGGATCTCCCTACCCCTACCCTTTGCTGAAAAAATCGAGGCAATTTGCAGATGCCTTCCACTCTCTCTTGTACCTGTCTCACATGAGGCTGCCATTCTCCTTGGCAAGGCCAACCCCTCTACACATACAAGCGATCCCACTCTACCCTGTCTTCTCCACTACCCCTACTCTCACTTATCTTTAGTCTCTCCCTATCTACTAGCTGCTTCTCTACTGTCTACAAACTGCCCGTGCCTTCCTCATCCACAAAAAGCCCTCAATCTGGCTATCTTCCTATTATCTCCTCCCTTTTGTAATTTGAAAAGGCCACATACAATTGATGTCTTTACGTCCTTCCCCCTCACTTCTTAATTCTCCAAAGGCTGGCTTCTGACGTCATCATTTAACCGAGATTGCTCTATCCAGTCATCGGTGATCTTAGTTGCCAAATCCAATGGCCTTTTTCTCAGTCCTCATCCTTCTTGACCTTTCTGCTGCCTCTGACCCTATTGACCAACATCATCTCCTCAGACACTCTTGTCTTTCCAGGTTTTCATGACACTGTTCTTGCTTCTCCTGTCTTCTCCTCAGTCTCCTTTACTGTATCTTCATCCAGGACATTCCCCAAAAAAGTGGGCATCCCCTAGAAGCTCTGCCCTGAGCCTTCTTCCCTTCTCCCTTTATACTGTCATTTGGTGCTCTCACCAGCTCCCATGGACTCAGTAATCATCCCTACACAAATTATTCCCAGATCTGTTTGTCTGACCCCAATCTCTCTGCTGACCTCCAGTGTATCACGTTCAACCGCCTACTAGTCACCTCAAACTCCACATGCTCTTCAATCCAGTGACATCCACCTCCTTCCTATTCCTCTCATATGACTCGCCATCTTCCAACTCTGGGTATTTTCACTGGCTATCCCCCCAGGCCCGAGACTTTCTCTTCCATCTGACTGCTGGCTCTCCTGGCTTCCTTCAAGTCTCTGCTAAAGTTCCACTGTCTGCAAGGCTTTCCCAGTCCTGCATGCCTTCCCTCTGGGATTATCTCCCATTTATCCTGGATCTTTTTTTTACAGAGTTGTTCACATGTTTTCTTCCCCACAAGACTGTGAACTCCTGGAAAGCAGGAACTATTTTTTGCCTTTCTTTGTATCCCCAGTGCTTAGCACTGTGTCTAGCACACAGTAGATGTTTGATAAATACTTGCTGACTTGACTCCACAGAGCAAAATGAAAAAACTGCTTAAGGCACAGCAGGAGACAATTTTCAGTTACGTAAAAGTAAGGACTGCAAAGAGCTAAGGAAGATTAAATTTTAGGTCAGGAAAAGAGAAAAGGTCTTTAAAAATTGGTAGAGCAACCACTGTCTTAAAAGGCTGAAAACGAGCTCAGCTTGGAAGCAGGTGGCTGGACATGGTGATCACTTATTCTTGCTGCCCTCTGTCTTCACTTGAACACTGAATCTTACAAGTTTTGTAGTAAAGACAGAAGTCATTAGAATGCATTACGTTCTGTTCTTGGGTGTTGATTACACAAGGCACCATGCCCAGATCATTTTCGAGTCTAAAGCCTTTGATCTGGGGGAACTTATAAATTATCATCTAGCCCAGCCCCCACTCCTTCCTTTCTCTGGGTGCAGGCCGTATGTGGTGAAGGCCTGTTCTAAAGGGTCCCTAAATGAGACAGAGACAGGCAGATGATGTTAGGTGGAAAAGTGGCAGACTTTAAGAGTCAGGACAGGCCCAAGCACAAATCCTGCCTCTGATTCCCTATTGACTGTGACCATAGGCAAATCACTTGACCTGAGTCTCAGTTTCCCATCTGCAAAATGGGGATAATATCACTTGAGTGTCATGTGAGAGATTAAAATAAGATGTGTATTGTTAGAACCACATGAGCCAATGCTGTTAATGACTGGGCAGATCTAGAGTCGTGGCCACGAAACACTTCATCAGACAGAGCCCCTTCTTTGCTAGTTTGCCCGTGCTGCCTTTACGTCCCCCATAAGTCCTTTCTCTGCTGTAATCTGAGGGCAAGTCTTTCTTCTGTGTTTATGAAGGCAGAAAACTGAGTCCTGTCCCCACTACCAAAGACTCTTTAAACACCTGCAGGAGTCTGTCAGCAAGCACAGTAGTTAGGTACTATTAGGGACAGGGACATAGGCAGCCTGTGGAGGACTGGTGGGGGCTTGAGCAGAGGCAGCCCGCCCTGAAGCAAAAGGGAGCAGGAGGGCGACAAACGCTGCCCCACTCCAGCCTCTTTTCTTCTTCGAATTTAAAATACGCCTGATTAAAGTTCAGCAATACTAGTTTATTTTCTTCGGAAGGATTATGAAGATGGGACTGAGGGAAGTTTCCTTACCTGGGACAGTTCCCTTTGCAGTGAAATCACAGGTCCAGTATTTATCCCCTCTATGGAATTAATCACTGGTGACAGGAGAGGGGAGCAATATATTTGGAAATGGGGGTGATATAAAAATAAAAGACAGTGCTAAAAATAAGATTTAAATATATATATATGAATAAGGAGCTTGAGAATAAAAATTTATTTGGGTAAAGAATTACATTTCATCCTCTCAAAAGTTGAAAAGTCACATAAATTACCAGCTCAGAGATTTCGATTTCCAAGAAATGAGTAATTTGACACTAGGGCCATTACTTCTTCTTGCCAGCTTTGGGGGCCTTTTCCAAACCTTGAATATATTTTCGAGGGATGTTATATTCTTCTACAATGCAAAAAAGGCAGACAGACTTCTCAGCCTAGCAGCCTCCAAGGCCCTCTGCCCTGCCCCCCCCAGCATCTAAACACTCAGCAGTTCCTTGCCCAGGCCCATCTCTGTTCCTGCTCAGCTAAGCCAGCAGCAACCCAGCTCCTCAGAGTATTCCTTGTTTTCCAGTCTTTGCACATTCAGGTATCAACAGCCAGCATTGCTCTCTTCTCTGCCAACCCTCATTTTGTCTGGGAAGCTGCCCACCATTAGTGGCTCTCTTGTCTATGGCAGGCCCCCCATATTTCAGGACTGTTTTTACTATACAAATGGTCCTGGTGAATGACACTTTCTAAGATTCCTTTAGAGGTTCAGCCTCTCCAAATAGAATGTAAACTCCCCGAGGCCAGGGACTCATGTTTTACTTTCCCCCTCTCTCATAGCACCTGGACCTGGGGTTTACTCAAAATAGGTACTGAGCCCTAGATGACTGACTGACACTGTCTTATACTCTCAGAAGACCTAGACAAAGCTTAGCTAAAGGGAAGATGCTCACCAAGCAGGAGCCGACTGAGATGATTGATCTGATTCCCCTGGATTTGGACCTGAATGGCATCCTTAACCCCAGGGACAGGGGTGATGGTGGCACTGGCCTGGCCCCGTTGCTGAAGGATGGCAGCCACAGAATACGGGTCAAGACCAAAGACCTCCAGGTTCCTGACCAAGGTCACCTGTCCATGAAAAAAGTCAGGACTAGCCAAGAATGGAAAGCAGAACATGCACATGCATACCCCCACCCCCACCCCCACACTCTTCCGAATTAAGTGACTCTGCATCCCCCTCTTCCCTAAATTGGAGGAGAACCCATATGCCTTACAACTGCCTCCAAAACAAGAAAGCCCAGACTAGAAGCCACCCAGTCATCAATGTGCACACACATACATTTTAATTGCTTTTTTGCTTCACAAATAACGGTGTGCCCCTCATCAGAATGGGTTGAGCAAAAACATTTTAAAAGTCTATAACATTCCCCATGGCTATAAAAACAGGATGCCTCATACATAATGAGAAGAGATGTTAAAGAGTTTCTGCATTCAGGAGAGACATTGTTACAGATGTTTGAGACACACACACACACACACACACACACGTCCTAATAAATAAGGTAGCTTAGCCACAACCTTAGGGTTACCAAGGGGCCAATGGATTAATTCAGCAGGGCCTCAGAGATGGTGAAAAGAACACAAACTGGAGCTTATAATCTGCCAACAGGGCTCCAGGCGTGGGTTTTTGGTTGGTCTGTTTGACTGAATTTCACTTTCCAAGCCAAGCACTCAATCTGTTTGCAGAGTATAAACTCGTAGAGAGTGGAGGTGGTTAGTTTCCTTCCACAGAGCACCTAACCCACTACACAAATGTAAATGGCAAGCAATGACCTCAGGGGCTATGGCGGAGCAGGTTCATGTCCAGCAGAGAAACAGAAACAACCTTGATGACTCTGATGGTTCATGAGAAAGAAAGCGTGCTGGGCTTGGGCTTGTTCTGAAGTTACACAGGCAGATTTCAGTTATTTAAGGAAAACCTTCCTAAGAATTAGACCCTTAACTAGAGAGGCAATCTCAGATCACAAAAATGCAATCAATCTTCTCTTCTCTGGCCCAGACACCAATTGCTCTATACTGTCTAATTCAGTAAGATTTTTGCCTATGTCCTCCCAAAAAACCTCCATAAAGAAGATTAAGATAGGGACAAGATGGGTTGCTATCTTCAAGCACCCAAAGGTCTGTCATACGGTACAGGGACTAGATTTGTTCTGCCTGGCCCTAGAACTGAAGTTGCAAAGGGGAAGATTTAGAATTAGTATAAGGAAAAACTCCCTAACAATTAGAATAGTTGAATGGGACAATAGGCAGCCTTGATAGGTAGTGAGTTCCCCATCACTGGTGGTATTCACATAAAAGTTGGATGACCACCAGTTAGGAATATCAGAGAAAAGGTTCCTGCTCAGGTAAATGTAGAAATATATGACACCCTGTGGAATACATGAATGGTGCTTCTGCATATCACTCAATCAGAGGCTGGAGTCAGTTTAAAACTGGTAGGCAATGTGGGAGATAGTTTTTTTTTTTTAAATTTCCACAAAAGTAAAGTGGAAAGGAATGGGGGGGGGTGGACTAGGCAGAAGTTGAACAAAGGGAGTTATATTAGAATAAGAAAACACTTTTGGTGGTAAATAGACTAATGGGTACTAAACCAGTTCTGAGGTTAGGTATAGATTAACATCAAAAGGGGTGTTCCCAAGTAAAGGTCAAGGTCGAGGAATTGTGGGGACTGGGAGATGTAATTGGGATGGAGACTCACGTGAGGAAATTAGACACTTCAGATAGGCTGTAACCTCTATAGTAGCCAGCAAAGGGGAAACGGGAAGGAAATTCAAATGGGGAATAAGGAATAAAAAGGTGTGCCTTTGGCGACACACGTGCTCTCACAGGCATCGTGATCTCACACATGCAGTACACCCAGCCTTCCCAGATCATTAATAAAGCTTCTTCCTGATTCAACAATGGCTTTAAGGAATTCATGGCATCGATAGAAATAACACACCCCACCCACCCTGAAGTCCCCACCAACTCTTCGAGTCCATGGAGTTTCTTTTTTACCTTTTTATTGCATGCTCTCTGTGCTAAGGTGATGTCAATTGGACAGATTTTTCCTTTCTTCACAATAGGCTCTTGGCCATAAAAGGTCACTTGATAGGCAGGTTTCAATCTCTGCAGGCACCTGAAATAGAGGGGTCAATGAAGGTCTGAGTCCTCCAGGCAACCCCCCCACCCAACCATGCACAAGGCATTCTCTCCCCTCCAGTGTCCAAGTCAGGGCACAGGCTCCCACTAGGCAGAGAGAGAGAAGCAGAAAAGTTCTACTTTCTGTTACAAGAGTGAGAGTAGCAACTGGTTGGAAGAAGATGACAGGTATCCTTTTGCTGGCACTTGCTGCAGGACTCTGTTACACTGCCCCTACTTGATTCTGGGTCACAGTCCCAGAGCAAGGAGGAACACTAGCATACTTAGAACATGTTGCTGCAGGAGAATGGGGACCCTGGTCACAGTTCCAGGGTGGGAAAGAGTGTTTTTAGTCACTCACAGACCAGAGCACAGGCCAGAAGAGCGGTGACCACACTGCTTAGATCATACCAATTTAGAAGAACTGAAAACTTACAGACATCCCTCCCCCCGCCCAAACTATTCTGAAAAATGAGCAAACAACAAAAAAAGAACCTGACCATAGAAAGTTTTTAGGGCGACGGGGAAGATCAAGACACAAACCCAGAAGAAGACGTTGTCATCTTCTGTCAAAGCAGCTATATGAAAATTTGCCTCAAAAAAATTATGAATTGATCCCAGGACCAAAAAAGAATTTCTGAAAGAGCTCAAAAAGGATTTTAAAAATCAAATAAGAGAGGTAGAGGAAAAATCGAGAAAAGAAATGAGAGTGCTGCAAGAAAATCATGAAAAACGAGTCAACAGTTTGGTAAAGGAGGCACAAAAAAGTACTGAAGAAAATGACATCTTAAAAACCAAATAGGCCAAATGGTAAAAGAGGCACAAAAATCCACTGAAGAGAACTTCTTAAAAGCAGAATTGGCCAAATGGAAAAAAAGATGTAAAAAAATTCACTGAAGGGAAGAACTCCTTAAAAAGTAGAATTGGACAAATAGAAAAGAAGGTACAAAAGTTCACTGAAGAAAATAATTCCTTAAAAATTAAAATTGGCAGGGCAGCAAGGTGGCACAATGGATAGAGCACCGGCCCTGGGGTCAGGAGGACCTGAGTTCAAATCTGGCCTCAGGCACTTGACACTTACTAGCTGTGTGACCCTGGGCAAGTCACTTAACCCCATTGCCTAGCCCGCCCCCTAAAAAAATTTAAATTGGACAAGTGGAAGCTAATGACTCCATAAGACATCAAGAAGTGATAAAACAAAATAAAAAGAATGAAAAAATAGAAGAAAATGTGAAATACCAGGAAAGATAATTTATTAATTACTGGACTATCTGAAAGTCATGATCAAAAAAAGAGCCTAAACATCATGTATCAAGAAATTATCAAGGAAAATAGCCCTGGTATCCTAGTGCCACAGGGTAAAATAGAAATAGAAAGAATCCACCAATCACCAAATCCCAAAATGAAAACTCCCAGAAATATTATAGCCAAATTCCATAGCTACCAGGTCAAGGAGAAAATACTGCAAGCAGCTAGAAATAAACAATTCAAATATCACGGAGCCACGATCAGGATAACATGAGATTTGGCAACTTCTATTTTAAAGGACTGAAGGGCTTGGAATATGATATTCCAAAGGGCAAAGGAGTTAGAATTACAACCAAGAATCATCTACTCAGCAAAACAGTATAATCCTTCAGCAGGAAAAAAATGGATATTTGTGAAATTCTTATAGCAAGTTACTCTGATAGAGGTCTCAATTCTCAAATATACAGAGAACTGTATCAAATTTATAAGAATACAGGTCATTCCCCAACTGATAAATGGTCAAAGGATATGAATAGGCAGTTTGGGGATGAAGAAATCAACACTATCTGAAATATGAAAAAATGCTCTAAATCACTATTGATTAGAGAAATGTAAATTAAAACAACTCTGAGGTACCACTCCATACCTATCAGATCGGCTAATATGACAGAAAAGGAAAATGACAAACACTGGAGGGGATGTGGGAAAACTGGGACACTAATACACTACTGGTGGAATTGTGAACTGATCCAAGCATTCTGCAGAGCAGTTTGAAATTATACCCCAAGGGCTATAAAACCCTTTGACCCAGCAATACCACTACTAGGGCTGTATCCCAAAGAGAGTTTAAAAAAAAAAAAAAAAGGAAAAGGACCTCTACGTACAGAAATGTGTCTCTATATACAGAAAATTTATAGCAGCTCCTTCTGGTGGCAAAAAATTGGAAATGAAGACAACGCCCACCAACTTGAGAATGGCTGAACAAGTTGTGGTATACAATTGGGATGGAATACTATTGTGCTATAAGAAATGATGAGCAGGATGCTTTCAGAAAAACCTGGAAAGACTTATATGAACTGATGCAAAGTGAAGTGAGCAGAACCAGGAAAACAGCGTACACAGCAACAATATTGTACAATGATCAGCTGTGAATGACTTAGCTATGCTCAGCAATACAATGATCTAAGACAGTCCCGAAGGACTTATGATGAAAAATATTATCCACTTCCAGAGAAAGAACTGATGAAATCTGAATACAAATCAAGACATACTTTTTTAAAACTTTATTTTTCTTGGCTTTTTTTTTTGGTCTGTGTTTTTTTCATAATACGATTAATATGGAAATATGTATTGCCTGACTGCACATGTATAATCCGTATCAAATTGCTTGCCCTCTCGTGAAAGGGCGTTTGGAGAGGAAGGGAGGAAAGGAGGGAGAGAATTTGGAACTCAAATTTTAAAAAAAATGTTAAAAATTGTTTTTACATGTAATTGGAAAAAAAATTTCAAAATAAATTAAAATGTGATGCAATCAGGTGATTCAAGGGAGAGAAAGAAAGGTCACAGAGAGAAATTAAGGAAAGCTAATGAAAGAGGGATTGAATAAACATTTATATAGCACCTACTATGTGCAGCCAGTGTGCTAAGCACTTTTTTTTTTTAAAACAAATATTATCTCATTTGATCCTCACATCCACCCTGTGAGGTAGATGCTATTATCATCCCCCCCTTTATACTTGAGGTTCTGTAAACCTCTTTTACCTTTCAATGAGTTTATCCCATGGAAGCTTCAATATTGTGTTTTGTTCAGCTTTTTCCAAGATGCAGTCACACAAGATGGGATCCATCTTCACAAGACTAAAGGGAAAGAGAAAGAATGATATTTAGACTTGTGCTAAGGGCCACCTCCTAAAACTTTCACAATAGTCTGAGAGTAAGATCATTTATCAGGTAATACACCACACAGAGGGAAGAAATCATGGCAGAGTTCCTGGAAGCAGGACATAGATCATGCTCAAGTAGAATGATCAAGGACTGAGAATTCAGAGATCTGGGTTCCAGGCTTGGCTTGGCCATCAACTAGCTGGGTGACTATAGGGAACAATGACAGTTGCTCACACTCAGAAAGTGCCTTACGTTTTCTCCCAAAACAACACCCCGAGGAGGCAGGTGGGATAAACTTCTTCACGTCACTTCTCTAGGTTCACTCTTCCAGACTCACTTGGAAAGACTTCAGGAGCACACGTAGACATACAAGTGGTTGTGTGGCCTCTCCCTAACTATCCTTGCTTGAGTCAGCCCATTCTGCTTTTGGACAGTTCTAATTGTTGGGAAATTTAACTCTATACCAAACCTAAATCTGCTTCTCTGCATAAACCCAATCCTTCCTTCTGAGGCCAAACAGGATAAATCTAATTCCACTTCCAGAGAATAGTCCTTCAAATACTTGAGGGCAGTTGTCATGTTCCCATTGAATTTTCTACTATCCAGGCTAAATACGTCTACATCCTTTAATTGACTTTTATATGACCGCGTGGCCCATCTACAAAATCAAAGATAGATCTATAAAGATCTCCAATTTCAGCATTCTCTGACTCACCTATGAACATGTGCAAACACACACACGACTCAAGGCAGCCTGGTTCTTAGTGCAAAAGACTGCCACGTGCTTTTTTACTTACTTTTTGTTGTCTGCATCAACTAGGTTGTTTTTCTTTGCATAGTCAATGATGATTGCACGGACTTCACTGCCAGAGAGGGTACTCCCCTTCCTGGGAGAAAAAAGGGGTACAAGAAGGTGGACTCAACTGTGAGAGCCATGTAAAACAAGCCAAGGACTTCTTTCTGATGGGGTTCCCTCCCCATCTTTCCTGCTCTATTTCCTTCCTGATGAGGTGGAAATGAAACATGATCATCGACTATGGGTTGAACATTCTCCCCATTTCCATTAGACACAGAGAAACTTGCTGGGGGAAGGAAGCTTAAAGCTAGACTCGGGCAACAGAAAGCCAAGGGAAGGATGGATGTGCTGAGCACAACAGAGAGCCAAGATGAGCTGAGAGGCCATGTGGATCAGTCCAGACAAGAGCTCAAGCAGACAGAGCCGGTTTGCAGATGTTCTACACAACTCACTTGTGGCCAGCCGCCTGGAAGAGAGAAGTCATGCTGGCTGGGATACAGTAAAGAGATTCGATCTCCGGCGGGTGATAAGGCTTTTCCTTGGTATCCTCGTGGACACTCTGGGCAGTTGGGGAGGGCTCAGGCACAACAAAAGATGTAATGCTGAAACCCATAATGAGGAAAAGATGAGAAAAAGCATTCTACACTGGTGTCTAGACATCCCCATCCCAGGCAGACTCAGAGCTGCCTGGGACCAATGGGCCCTCAGCTCTCACCTGGGGTGTTTCCAGTCCACAGCTACAATGCTCTCCACACCTTTGCTCAACTCCTTCACCTGCACAATCTGCTCCTTCATCATGTGATGCAGAAACTTGGAGAGCTGAGGGAGAGAAGGTCAGCGGCCAAGGCCACGGGGCAAACCCAAGAACTTCATTCATTCAACAAGCATCTCTTGAGGACTTACTATATATGTAAAACACTGTGCTAAGCTGTGAGGGGAACCAAGAAGTTTGAGACATAGTCCCTACCCTTTTAAAACTGGTAACTGAGAGGCTCCTACCCTGTACTAGAGTATATGTCATAGTGACTAGGATGACATGGAAAGGAGACTCTGCACCAGTTGAGCCTTGTAGAACCCACATGAGATAAAAGGACCCAAATGCAAAGTGAAACAGGCATCTACCCCTCAGTGCCAGGCCCAGAAAGGTACTATCTCCTCATGCCTGGGACAAAGAGCATTAAGGGTTGTCCTGGGCTGGTGGGGCCACAGGAACACTGGTTCCCCAGCAATCAGTTCTACTAATACTGTTTGTCGTCCTCCCACCAACAGTCAGGCCAAGAGCCTCACTTGCCTTTTTATAGCTTGACTTCTTTATGTCCAACTGTTGTCCTTCAGGGCTAGAGACAGCAGAAATGCATGTTAAGAAGGGAAAGCAATAGTGATGGAGGCTTGAGCACGGAGTAACGATGCTGGGTGTAGGGACTTTTCTTCCCTGTTCTCCAACCCATTCTTAGGAAAGGTGGGAAAGGAGACAAAGTGAAATAGTTTCAAAGAGGACTTGAGGATGCTCTCAACGCCTCCCAGTCCTGGGGCCCTTGTTACCTAGGCTTTTGCTGTGACTTGCTACTAGACAAAAAACTGACACTTCTCAAAAACCATCCCTAATCCAGCAGAATTCTGGCCCCAGTCACTAAGTCTTCAACATATACCCCAAGCCCTGGCACTTAGATAGGAGGCCCTGAGGAGACCTACAAGTGACAAAAGTAGAATCACACAAGAAAAATCATTAAAAACAAGGTGAGACTCAGAAGAAGAGAGGTCTGGCCTCACAGTTAAATCAGGTGTTAGATTTTTTTTTTTTTAAAGGCCTCCCAGGTTCAGTTCCTCACTGCAGCTTTACAGACATGGGGCACTTATTTGAAGTCTCTCTCCCTGACCAGCCCATCAAGGCTACCTGAAGGGTGTCACTTTTAGCTGTGAAGGCAGAAGAAAAAGCCTTTGAAAATTGGAGCTCCTGAAGAAATGGTTAATGATGCTGCCATTTCAATTCAACAAACATATTAAGTTTATATGTACATTATACGTACATATATCTCATATATATATATCTCATTATATGTACAAGACCTCATAGCAGATTAAAAAATAACACAACTCTTCCCTCAAATGCTTACAATCTAGCGAGAGGGGATTTCCTGCACAGGATTTTCTCCTCTGTCAACAGGGGGAAATATTAACACCTGAAGGCAGGGGTAATTTCAGTAGGTGTGAGATCCTCAGTATTCACCTATGAAATTACCCAGGGAAAATTTCAGCTTAATTTTCTGGATAATTTCATTATCTGCTCTGACAGGGAAAGGTAACTTTTTAGGACTTGGAATCCAATTAACTATCCAGGTCAATGTGCTAACCCCACTCTGTAACTTTTTCCAACATTCCCCCACCCTCTTTCTCCAATCAGAGCACAGAGATGCCAGATAAGCAACAGTGACAGTCCAACCCATCGGTCTTCCATCCCAATCTGGTCCTCTCCATACCAGCAGGAAAACATGTGACTGCCCAGGAAAGTGCTGGTGAGCAAAGGGAGGTCAGCCTTTGTGACCCGGCACTTCAGGGCATGGAAGAAACATCTCAGCAGCAGCTCATCCATTTGCTCTGGGAGAAAAAGACAAAAGCATATGCTGTTTGTCACTGAGTGGTCTACAAGAGGAAGCCAGGGGCTGGACAAAAGGTTCCCCCAAAGGCCTTTGAAGGGAATCCATTTCCAGGCACTGAAATGGCCACAGCTCCCTGGGAAGTGAGCCCTTTTGACAGAGAAAACTGAATGAAAGAAAAGATATAATGATGAACCTAAGCTGTATAATCTCTCCAAACTCTGAGGACAACAATATTCCAACTTTGGCCTCCAGTGACCTAAATGGGTGGGCAAGGGGCCAGGGAAAGATGGCTGAAGCTGAAAAAGTATCCAGAACACGAGAGGAGTCAGAACTATGGAGACCGTAAGCTCATTCCCACCTCAAAACAAGGCGTTTCCTCTCCTTATACCTAGGGGTTATTCTGTACAAAAAGGAGAACAGAGAAGAGCAGTCATGGAAATGGAAAGGAGGAAAGCCCAAACTCACTTCTGCTAGGGCAGTACCTTGAAAGGTCTTGCTATCAGCTGGTTCCTGGTCCATTCCCACTTCCCTCAATTCCGCGGTGGCTTCTGAAGGCGGTGTCCTGTAAGCCATGCTGCTCTCCTCGTCTCCTTGCAGGGTGAGACAGTCCATGTCTCCCTGAAGAACAGAATCTACCTGTACTGGCCCCTCCTCTTTAGCGTTCCCCCTACATTCTGGAGGATCCTGGTCCAATAGGGGAATGGTGGGTGGAGATGATTTGTCCCCAAATTGCCTGGAAAAAGGCCATGTGAGAAATTCAGAGCAGAGCTGCAGTACTGACTAGAGACCTGGAAGGCAATTCAGGGAATACCAGAAGCTAAGAGGAATGGAAGCTGAAGGCGCAAAGTAGATGGAATTTTCATCCTAACTCTTAACTCTTAGCTATAAAACTTCTACACCTTAAATCTGTCTTCTCTAAAATTAGGAAAGAATAATTCGTGCCTTGTCCCTAACCCCCATGGATGATAATAATGTACACAGCCTTCTCATGGATGAAAATGGTTAAACCCAAAGCAGTCAAAGAAAAACCAAAATTTATAGTAGAAATAAAAACTCAAAAAAGGTATTTAAGATACATCTTAATATACCAAATACGATTAAGTTGATTTGCAGTACCAGTATCCATTCTTTAAAGTATTCATGCCTTAAAAAAAATTTATTGATTTTTTTTTTTGTTTTCACATTGCCTAGATTTTCCCTGTATCTCCCTTTGCCTTCCCCCAACCTCAGATAGTCATCACTTGTAACAAAGATTTTTTTGTTTTTGTTTTTTTAAAGAAAAGAGAAAGAAAAAATAGTTCAGGAAAACAGATCTGAGACAGAAAATCTGACACCATATGCAATGCTCCACACCCGTGAACTATATTCTCTTCCAAACTGCCCAATGTGGACCAAGAAGCATAAACTAGGGGAGAAGGAGCCACGGGATTGGTCCCACATCTGCCACGCTCTAGCTGTGTGACTTTGGCCAGGTCACTCACATTTCTGAGCCCTCAGTTTTCTACTCTGTGAAATAAAGGAGTTGAATGAAGTGGTCTCTCAGGAACTGTTAACACTTTGGGATTCTTGTCCCTCAAGGTTCTAGAGCACTCTGAGGACAGAGGTGACCAAAAAGGAAAAAAACAGCATTTTTTTTGCTAAGGAATTTTCCTTTTACCATTTGGGCAAATGTTGAGGTTACTTTGTATGTTTTTTGGAAATAACTGTGATCATATGCCATGGCAGCCAGCCTGAAGGTTTGTGTGTGAGCCATGAAACCCTGGCTATCAAAAGTTGGAGAAGAAAGATAACCTCAGGTCACTGGGAGAATGTGAAGCAGGTCTGATTGCAGTCTACTTAAAATGGCCAGGAAACACAACCACATTTTTACAGCACAAAGACTTGGAAAGGTAGATGAGAACAGACTGAAACGTCCACAAACAATTGCAATGCATCTAGGGGTATCTAGGGTGGGAAAGGAATTTGCTAACTCTCATTGCTGTACACAAGACCAGAGAGCTAAAGCCGAGCAGAGCTGGTGGCCATGGGAGTCCCGGCCAGAGAGTCTATGAAAGGTACGCTGGGGCATGCTGAACATGGCAACCACCACCAAACTGCTGCAAACAGATTGAGAGGACACGTGGTGGTGGATGATCTAAGAGAGGATCTATTCTGAGCTACACCACTGTGGCTGCTATAGGTTATACTGACCAGTCAAAGAATGATCCTAATTAATATCTGCAATTAGCCCTCCAACCAGTGGACTCAGAATGCCAACTTAAGGCACTGTAAGGTGGGGGACAATGGGAGCAGAATGTCACATAAATGGTCAGGTATGGTCACTGAATTGATTGCTTCTGCTTAACTGTTTTTCTCTGTGACAAGGTAGGGCTCAATTCCAATGGGGGTAGGGTATGGATAGATCTGGAAATGGGATCTGGAAATGACTAGGATAGAAAAACAAAAGGCATCAATAGAAAAAAAATTTAAATATAAACACAAGAACATGCACTGTGAATTATGGAATCTTTGTGCTAAAAGAGACCCTGGAGGTCACCTAACCCAACCTTCACCTGAACAAGAACATCCCTGACAACTATTCATCCAGCCACCATGTGAAGGCTTCCCGGGATGGGGAGCCCACTACTTAAAGAGGTCCCCCATTCTACTCCTAGACAACTCTCAGTGGGATAAAGATATAATAGGCCAACACATTAGCTGCTTTTCTATTTGAGAAAAATACAGCCAGGAAACTTATTGTTATTTCCTTCACAATTAGCAAAAACCCATGAACTGCCAAGAAAAAAGTAAGAAGAAGTGAAATAAAATGATGAAACTGAGGAATGTTAAAATACAGCTGGTTATCATGAAAGTGATGGATGGCAATCTAGAAACAATTCTGAACTCCTCAACACTCTTGTATCATCAGGAGACAGCTTTTCTCCAGGTTCTGTGCTAGGCCTTATAACTACTATGCCACCTTCAGTTTCAGCAATGCCTTTTTACAAAGAAGCATAGCTCTCTCAAAAGTCTTCACACCAGCTTTATGACATGGGAAGAGACAGAAACAATTCTCTAGGTGAAGGGGGCCTCAAGGATTACACTGGCCCATCTCCATCGTTTTTAGAGATGAGAATATTGAGGCTCAGAGAAGTCAGTGGTAAAGACAAGATCACAGCTCACACGGCTCGATCCCCAGTCTTGGGCTTTCTCCACTCCACCCCATTACAGTAAGGAACTGGAGAGACAATACACCCACCACAAATGGTCAAGGTAGGTATGGAGCACCGTAAAACCTCTCCCCTTCAGTCCAGAGGCCAGCATCTCAACTGTAGACATGGTGGCCACTCCAATTGCAACAGGAGCCCTAAGGAAAGAAGATGAAACAGAATCAGGAGGAGGTAGAACCTTTCAAGGGCAGATAACATCAGTCACCCCCACAAGGCAAGAGAAGCACATCCCTGCTCATCATGGTAACTAAATGTAGTCAATTTTCAATTACCTTCAGGTGGTTTGTTCATAAGAACTTTTGTTTCCAATCAGTATTTCACCCTCTATGATTGAATGACATCTATGTAGATATCATCACTAAATTTACTCTTAATCTGACCTCATATACTTAGTAGCTCTGTGACCATTTAACCTGTTTGCCTCAGTTTTCTCAATTATAAAGTGGGGATAATAATAGCAACTACCTCCCAGGGTCATTGTGAGGATCAAATGAGATAATATTCGTAAATCAATTACCATGGTGCCTGGTATATAGTAAGTACTATGTAAATGTTAGCTATTTTATCCTCACCATCATCACCTTTTTTTTTTTTTTTGGCTAGGCAATGGGGTTAAGTGACTTGCCCAGGGTCACACAGCTAGTAAGTGTTACGTGTCTGAGGCCAAATTTGAACTCAGGTCCTCCTGAATTCAGGGCTGGTGCTCAATCCACTGTGCCACCTAGCTGCCCCCATCATCATCATTTTATACAGCAAGGACTAAAAAGCAAGAAAACTGGTGGCTCCCTTTAAAACAACAACAAAAAAAATTTAATTACCTTTTCCACTTGCAGGGAAAGAAAGAGCTAGAAAATCATGAAATCTTTACATCAATACTCTGAACTAGTCTCAAAGGTGATACTACCCCCCTCTGAGATAAAGTAGAAAGCAGGGAAAAAAAATCTATCAAGCAAGAGCTAAATGGAAAAGCTCTATAGCTTTTCAGTTTCTTCTAAATTGGGTTTTTATAGAGTAGCTTAGCTATTGTGACAAGTTGTGAATTCTTGGACTATTAGATATAAGCATGTATATTCAACCACACCTTGCAAAATTCAAATATAAAAACATTCAGTCTGCCATATTGGACTATTATGGTTTCCTTCTCTTTTCTCACTGCTTCCTTCTACTGGCACAGACAATTAAGAGACGATGACAGTGACCATATGTATGGCCACTGGCTGAGTAGGTAGGGAGGGGCCGTGGAGAAGTGAGAAGAGAGAAGAAAGGAGTGGAGGGGCTATATAAGTCCTGTGAAGAAAGTTTAAAGCCAAAGAAATCTTTCAGTACTTGAACTCTGAAAAAGTTTCAACAAGACTTAATGACTCCAACCACTCTATGAGTCAGTTCCTACTATGTACAAAATCCAGATCAACACATCCAGCTGCTTAAGTTCTAAAAAGAGTGATCACCACGAGGTTCAGAACAAAACTGAGTTAAAACTTAATATTACGTAATTTATTAACAAATTTTCTAAAGGTCAAATTAACCATATCATCCTCATTTCCCAGCCATCCTCCACCTCGACTATGATACAGGGAAAAAAGTGAATGAAACCACCATTCTTTCCCATTCACCCAAAATCAACTCTGGGCAGGCAGACAAGTAAATATTTCCAAAGTTGCTTCAAGTACAGTACTTGATTGTAGGAGCACCAGTGTGAGCAGGTCAGGGGGTGAACCACCAAAGACCTGAAACTAAATTCTTCCTTAAACTCTTCCTTTCCTCTTTTTCCCCTTCTCCCACAGCATTCACATACTCTCTTACTCGATTTCTTTCTCTCTCTCTCTCTCTCTCTCTCAATAGAGATACACCAGCTGAGACACATGCAACTCCATACCATAGCAACTTAAGTGACCAGCTCCTCCTAACTAGGGAGGACCCAATCAAACTATTAAACTGTCTGTCTTCTCATTTCTGCCCCATTCGTGTCACAAGTTTTTATCTCCTGCCCTCCCCCCTCATAAAGTTGTCTCTTCCTCTGTTTCTCCCTTCTTCTCTTTCCTTATCCTCCCCCAAAAGATGAAACTGGCTGGTATGGTACCTGTTCCCGACCAAGGTGATGGCACAAAGGTCACCCTGCTGTACCTGAGGCAGACCACCAGGTGGCACCGTGAGGCCAGGCAGCATCAAATCTGTAATACAAAACAGAAAAAAACATTTCTACCCAAAGCATTCCATTTGGCTAACTTCTTGCTTTATCACATCAATAAATCACAGAATTTTAGAGCTGCAAGAGTCCTGGGAGGTTACTTATTTCAGTTAGTTCAAAACCTTCTGGAATAAACTACTGAAGGAATACTTGAACATTAAAAAATAAAAACACGGTAACCACCATTTTATTTACTTCAGGTAGTTTGGGTACAGTCCCATACGCAGGCAGGAGACTAAACCAAATGACCCCAGGAATGACCTCTGTCCAACACCAGTACACCAAGACAACTTGCCTCTGAGGTCATCCTTTGCTCCACTGCTTTTGGGGGGATCTAGAAAGGTAAGCTGGAATTACCACCTAACTCTTAATGTCAACCCCAATAATGTCTTCTGTATGCTCTGATCAATACCTGGAGGGAAAGGCTATATACCCTTTCCATTCAAACTAAAACCCCTATTCTAACTTTCAGGATTGGATATTGTTTTTTCATCCCAAGATACACCAAGACACTTCTTCACTAAAATGCAATCACATACCCGTATACCCCTTTCTCTAATCCTTACTAATTCCCTGGACTCCTCTGACCCCTCTATCAGCTAGGGAGATTCCAAGATTTAAATTAAGGCACTTGATGAGGAAATGCTAGTTTTGATTAGGAGCATGTCCCATTACCTCATTAATTGTGGATTTCTTGTAATTCACACTTACAACTCTGGTCTGAAGAACGCCCAAAACAAACAAAGAATTTTTCAAAATTTGTTTTCAGAGCGAGAACAATTCCAGAGACTATGCACAGAAAGAATAGAACCAAAATTCCCATTCTGCCATTCACTTAACCAAGAAAAGAATGGTGCAAATCACACTCCTAGCAGACAAGAACTCATATGTAATCTTAACACTTAACTACAGCAGATGCTTTAAAGAAAAGAAAGCATGTTGATTTGAAAAAGCAGTAAGGGAGGCTCCTGATTACCTAGATGATGGAATACAGAGGCCCTCCCTCCCAGCCCCTGCTAGACAGCTCTGAGAGGATAACTGTATGTGGACATTTTTCTTTAAGAGGAAGGAGGGAAGGAGGGATGTACCTAAGGATATCTTGACCCCCCTTCCAAAAGGGAAGAGTGAACCTGGGGATACTGAAACTAAGGAAAAGAGGCTTCATGAAGGAACTACTAGAGTTCCCCATATTAAAAGCAGGCCAGTTAGGGATCCCAAACTCTGACATGAAGTGTGACTAAAAGTTACATACAGAAGGAAAATTACTAATTTAATACTATTACTTTGGTAAGATTTATGCCTGATTTGAATTACCATGAGTAACAATGACATTAAAAACTGAAAAAAATTAAAAACAGCATTAGACCTCTCTTCTTGAGGACACAAGTCGTTAGATGTATCACTGCAATAACAGGAAATGAGGTTAGGAAGAGAGACAAAGCAATGGGACTTCCAGATGGGTTTTGTCACTGCACTGTGACCTGTCTTCTTTATAGACTCCAGATACATATTTGTGGATTCTTTTCAATGAGCGTCATAAACAAATCTAGACTCCTGATGCACTTCATCTTAAACCTCTTATTCCTTCCTTGGTGGAATTTTAAAAACAGCCCAAATGAATAGACCGACACTTCCTTACCTGCTCCCCCAACCAGCTTCTCCAGCACAGGAGGCCATGTTGTGAAGGCCGGCAGAAGACTAGGGTAAGACCATAAGGTGTACACTGTCCAAAAAGAAGCCCATAATAATGAAATCTTACATTTTCATGGAATTTTACAGTTTTCAAAACACTTATTGGCTGGTCTAAATGCAGTGGTAATTATAATTAATTTATTACAGTCAGTTACAGATTTCTTTAAAAGCAAAAAAAGGGGGGGAGGGGCAGCTAAGTGGCACAATGGATAGCACTCTGAGTTTGGAGTCAGGAGGACCTGAGTTCAAATCCCAGCCTCTGACAGACACTTGACACTGTGTGACCCTGGGCAAGTCACTTAACCCCTACTACCTCACCAAAAAGCAAAAAGAAAAACCAAAACCAAAACCACTTATTATCCTCATGAGAACTATATCAAATTGGCATGGCAAACATTTTGCAAATGAAAAAACTGAGGCACAGAAAGGTTAATGGACTTGCCCAGGGTCACTTAGCTAATAAGTAGCAGAGACAGGACTAGAACCCAAGACCTTTGACTCTCAGTGCAGGGCTGTTTCCAATACATCGCATTGCTCCGTAACTCTTATTATCTATACTATTTTATTTGGCACTGATTGTTCTGTCTTTTTCCATAGTGATGTGCCCCATATGCCTATCAGACAGGCTCCTTTGAAGGCGGGGACTATGTGTTATACTTCCATGTACAGAACTGGGCCTGGAGGCCACTTAGGATTTTTAGTCAAGGAGCAGCTATGTAGCACTCACTAGGACCCAGACACTAGGCTAAGGACTGGGATTGCAAAGAAAGGTAAAAACCCTCCCGGGTCCTGACCCCGCCCTCCAACTCTCCTCAAACATTCGACTAACCCAGTCAGTCCAGCTTCCAAGAGAACCAACAAACTACAGTGCTGGAGTCGCTTTGGCTAGAAAAAAGGAAAGGCCCTTGGCTCAGCGACCAGCTATGAGGTGTACAGCTAATGGGCAGGTGCCATCTGTCACAAATGTCCTTTAGATGTCCTCAATGGGCTGCTTCCCTTAATCTCTGTATCTATTATCAATGGTTAATTAGATTTCAACAACAGTCTTTTTACCTCTTCCTCTTTTCTGGGACCCAGGTGGGTATTTTAATTAGGCTGAACCCTTTTGCATTTTTTTCTCACGATATTTCTGTACATCGTGCCAGGACGCTAAACAACAATGGAGGTCATACAACCATGCCAACTGGATTCACTACAAATTCAAATTATTTCATTTCGACCAGGCCCTCAAGGTAAACTTTATGTTCTTCTTTGATTGCTTCTTTCCCCTGTTCCAAACCCACCCTTAGCAAATGAGCTCTTAGCTCTTTGCTCCCTACTTTCTGAAAAAATCTGTTCTGAACTCCTTGAGATCCTCTAATTCACACCTCAATAGCCTACAATTTCACCCATCTTCCTCTTTCACTCCAATCTCTGCGGAAGAGGAGGCCATATATCTATTTCCAAAATGTCTCCTGAACTCCAAGGCTATATTTGGGACAGTTTGCTAGACGTCTCCTTCTGAATGTCCCGTTATCATCCATTGTGTTCAAAAGAGAACTCATTACCTACACCATTATAGGAACCACCATCCTCCCAGTTGCCCAGATAATGTTGGGATCATCCTATTCCTTAGTCCACATACCAAGTCAGGTGCCAAGTGTTATTGATTCCATCTTCGAAACACCTTTCGCATACCTGTTCCTTTCTCAATTCCCAAACACCTCCACCCTAGTTCAGGTTCTCATCAGCTCTGACCAGGGATACTGCAATAGCTTCCTAATTGGCTTCCCTGCTGCCAATTTCTTCTGTTCAATCGACTCTCCACACAGCTGCTAAATTAACCTTCCTAAGGCACCTGCCTGATCACATCATTTAAAACCTCCCATTGCTCTCAGCCTGACACTTGAGGCTTCTATATCACACTCCAAACTACCCTCCTAGTCTTATTTCGTATTTCTCCCTTCCATTCACTCCATATTCCAGTCAAACTGGATTATCAGCTATTTCCAAAACTTGACATTCCATTTCTCACTTCTTTTCATTCATAAAAATCCCCATGCCTGTAATATACAGCCTCCTGATATCAGTCTTTCAGAACTGTTATCTTCCTTCAAGACTTCACCACATCTGGGAACTCTTCTGCTGCCTACAGTTGTTAGCACCTTCTCCCTCCTCAAAGTATCTTATATTTACTTATTTGTGTAAATGCATCTCCTCCCTCCCCCAATAGAATGTAAGCTCCTTGAGGGCTGGAACTGTTATGGTTTTGTTTTTCTATCCCCACCACAGTGCCTTGCATAGAGCTGGCACCTAATGAATGTTAACTGAACGAAAAACAGCTAAGGATAGATTTCCCCCCTCCCCCCTTAAAGGAACATTATATGGGATACGTCATGAAATCATACCATTGTCAGGACCCCTGTTTTTTGCCCGGTAATCCTATTAACAACTTTTTCTCCTTCACTTCAGAACTTCCTTTTCGATCTATTTCCTTCTATCTCCCTTCATACTAATTCCTCTTCTCTTCTTCCCTGTTTCCCATGTCCTCCTAGTCATGAGGATTCTCATTCTAGTATAAGGAAAACAGAAGTACGGAAAAGACTAGAGATAGGCAACTGGTTTTTTTTTTTTTCAATTGTTCATTTGGTTTTGGGAGAAGCAGAATGTAGAGGGAAGTAGAGGGAGAGAGAGAGATGGGAAAGAGAACGAAGTGTCATTCCATTCACATACCTGTGGGATATAGAGTTCCCTTCAGCTCAAACAGAACGGGGTTTCCCCCACTCACATACACGGTGACTGCATCTCCTTTGTGAGCGTAGAGCTTCACAATGTTGAGCTCGTCCTTCCCAGGCACTAGTTCCAAGAGCTGTTCTGGCCCAAAGGCAGGGAAAGCAACTGCCGCATCAGCCCGAAGCTTCCTCCTACAAAAAGCACACCCAACATTATTAAATCGGTGAATGCGTTAGCCTCCCTCTGACAAAGTGGGCTGGGGGAAATGACACACACCTCAAAAGACAGGAATGAAATCTCAAGGAAATATTGCTTCTGCAGTAGCGTTTGAAGGCCTACCAAGTGCTTTCCTCACAACAACTCTGGGAGGGACGGAGGAGAAATGGTAGGTATTATTACCTTCACTTTACAGACAAGGAACTAAGAGTCAGAGGGATAAATTCATTTGTCTCAGGTCACATGACCAGCAAATGGTCATTTAAGAACTTGAACTCAGGTCTCCAGGCTCTTGGTACAAATCTAATTCCATTCACCACACTATCTCAGTGAAAAACACTTGGTTTCCAATGCCACAGATTCCTTGTTCTTTCTGCTATCCCTAACCTGTCTCCATACAGTTTCCTGGTGAAGAGAAATGGGCAGGAATGGCTCATCCTCTTATTTATTTATGGTGAGGAAAATGGGCCTAGTGAGTTATAAAAAGTCACAAGGTATACATCAAAGACAGAGCTGATAATAGCTAGCATTTATATAATGCTTAAATGTTTACAAAGGACTTTGCAAATATTCTGTCCTCACAACTCTGGGACAGTTACTGGCACAACTCTAGGTGCCAGTATTATCCCCATTTTACAGATAAGGAAACTAACAGACAGAGGTTAAATGACTTGTCCAGGTTCACACAGTTGGTAAGTGTCTGAGACCGAATCTGAACTGTGGTCTTCCCGACTCCAGTTCTAGTACTCTATCTACTGTGCCACTTGGTTTCCTAAATTGAAATGAAAAGACTCCTTAGCCCAGCACACTTCCCCTATGTACTTGTTTCCCTTCTATATTTGCCATGAAAACTAAGTCAGGCCACCAGAATAAGACAGTAGTATGGTAGAGCAGAGGACAAAATAGCACTGATCCCAAAGTGATCCGTTATAATACTGCTTTGGCAGTCATAGGTCCTTAGAGTTTTTGCCACTACTTAACCCCACAGGAATCTCATTCTCCATTATCTAGCCCCGCCCTTGACTCCAAAAACAGCTTGCCCCCTTCCTAACTTCCTTATTTCTGTTAAGAACTTTACCATCCTTTCAATAACTCAAGTTGGAAACCTCAGTGTCATCTTCTCATTCTCACTGAACCCTCAGATTCAATTAGTTGCCCTATCGTATTGATTCTACCTCTTTGACACCTCTCTTCTTTGAGCATCACAAGGGGCCCAACCAACTGGATGCCATCCATCAGAGCCCTCTGGCTGGCCACCTGCCATTCCTTAACTCTTTCCATATAACCCACCCTTATTCTCGGCCCTATAGGTCCCTGATGACGTTCTCTAACTCCTGTTTCTTCTTCAGTTTCTCCTTGGTTACATGCTGCAACCTGCTCGTATCCTCCGTGCACCTTTCCATTACCCCCCTCTGTGGGATGCTCTCTTCAGGGCATCATACATGCCTCTTCAGAGTGCCTTCATGAATGCAAAGGCATCGGTGAATGCCTCTTGGGAGGTATTCAAGTTCCAGGTTTGCTAGCTGTGTCTGCACAAATTCATCTACTTCCCCTATAAAATAGGGTAATTGGCCTGGAGGATGGCCAAGGTCCCTCCCCGCTCTCGGGAATGTGACTGCCTGCCTTCCCCCAGAACCTCCGCGGTACCAAACACGTGCATCCTCGGGTGGGGCAGGTCCTCCCAACAAAGTTTCCTCTACAGCCCAACCCCCCTCCCCGCCCCTCCCGTACCCTGCCGGCCTGGGAGAGGTCCAGAAAGCCCCGGAGCCAACAGTGCGAGCCCCCTCAGGCTACCCGAGGCTGCCCGGTCCGGACCAACAAGCCCCTCCGGTGTTCACCGTCCCCCAAGTGCACCGAGCCCTTCTTGGGTCCAAGGGCCCCGAGATCCCCCAGCGGCCCCCCGGGCCCGAGGACCCCCGAGATCCCCCGAGCCCCTCACGGGTCCGAGGCCCCTCCTTGGGCGGCACCCCCCCACCCCGGACCCTCACCTGTCCGAGCCCTTGACTGCCGTATTGGACTTAACCCGAAAGGCCTTAGCGAACATGACGGCGTGTGGCGCCGCTACTGCCGCCGCCGGGGAAAGAGAGCAGGGGGCGGAGGCTGGGCCTGGGTTGGGCTGGGGGCTGCCCCGGCGCGCCTGCTAAAGAAGGAACCCCATCAGGGCGACGACCAACTCGGCTCCCGGCCCGTGGCCCTGGGGGCTGCCATGTTGGTCCTGCTCCTAAAAAGGCCCTGCCGGAAACAGAGGCTCGTCTCTCTCCCGCCCCCGGCGGAGACACACGGGCTGGAAGAGCGGCGTCTAAAGGAGGGCTCCGCTCCTTCCGGCTAGAGGCTCCGCCCCCAGGCACCACGCGCTCCCTGCTTCTTCGGGCGTGCTCTGTGCAGCCGCAGACGCGTGGTTGTGTCTGCTCGCTGAGACTAATCCCCCAGCCTTCGTTTCTCCCTCTGTCTCTCTGTCTCCATCTCTCTCTCTCTCCCTCTGTCTCTCTCTCTGTGTCCCTCTGTCTCTCTCTCTGTGTCTCTCTATCTCTCTCTGTTTCTGTCTCTGTCTCTCTCTCGTAACCATCTTCTCAGTCCATCAGGCTCAGAGCCTAGGAGTCATCCTGGATTTCTTGCTATCTCTCACCCACCCATATCCAAGATGTTGCCAAGGTCTGTCCGTTTCACCTTTGCAACATCCCCCGAATACACCCCCTTCTCTGCTCTGACACTGCCACCCCTCTGGTGCAGGTCCTCATCACCTCCCACCTGGACACTGCAAAAGCCTGCTAGCGGTCTTCCCCCTCCCACCCTACTTGATAAACTCCAGTGGCTCTCTATCACTTCCTTGCCTTGTAACTGGCTTGTGCTGAACTTTACCGAGGCTTCTTTGATGATTCAGAAGGCATCTTGAGATCTTTTGGTATCCCATAAGCCCACATTCTGAATATTATTCCTTACTAAATAGAAATGAAGATGTGGGTAATGTGTGAGGGTGTTAGTGGAACTGAACTGTCTCTAAGGCAAATTCCCAAAGTGGCTTCACTGAATGAATCCTGATGTTCTTTCAAAAGCCTTTTTCTTTCTAAAAGTGGATTATCGGGGAGGGATTTGATTGAAGGTTCTAATTATTTGGCCCCTGGTTAATTGTGGTTTCCCTGTAACTTAGGCTCTAGAATAAAGGAGTTGGACTGGAGGGCCTCTGAGCCAGCGTGTTAGAGTGGAAAGAGTACTGGCCTTAGAGTTAGAATGTTCTGAATTCCAGTACTTACTGACTATGGGACCGTCAATGAGTCGCTTTACATCTCAGAACTTCAGTTTCCTCATCTACAAAATGAGGATAATAACAATTCACATTTATGTAATCCTGAAGAGCATCATGGTAGAGTGAAAAGAGTACTAGATTTAAAGTCGAGTTCTGAGTTAGAATGCTGAGTCCTCTACCATTAGAGGCAACTGGGGGTGGAAAGCTATGGATAGAGTGTTGGGCCTGCAGCCGAGAAGACCTGAGTTCAAATGTAACCTCATACGCTTTCTAGCTGTGTGACCCTAGGCAAGTCATTTCACCCTGTTTGCCTTAGTTTCCTCATCTGTAAAATGAGCTGGAGAAGAAAATGGCAAATCACTCCAATGTCTTTGCCAAGAAAACCCCAAATGGAGTTATGAAGAGTCAGACATGACTGAACAACTACATGTGTAACCCTACTAGACAACTCATTTAACTTCACTGGACCTCAGTTTCCTCACCAGTAAAATAAAAGAATTGAACTTGATGACTGCTAAAGACCCAAATCCAAGATCTTGGAAACTCCAGCCAAAAAGGCATGACATTATGGATACAGGGCTAGGGCTAGAGCCAGGAAGAGTTAGTTTCAAATCCTGACTCAAAAACAACTGCTGTAAAAAAAACAAAACCAAACCAAAAAAACTTACTGTTGTGTGACTCTAGAGAAGTCACTTCAGATCTCCAAGTCTCAGTTCCTTATCTATGAAATGAGGGTGGCCTCTAAGGTCTCTTCCCACTCTAAATCTGTGAATATCTGATCTAGTCCATCCTCCATATTTTTACATATAAAGAAACGGGCATTCGTGCAGCGAATAAAAAAGCCAGAATTCAAACCCAACTACCTGTCTCCAAATCTGGCACTGCTCACCCTGTTCTATGCTGCCCCCACAGTGGGTCTTTGTTGCCTCAAGGATTAACTACAAACATTTCAGCTTGGTGGGGGTGAGGGTGGGAAGAATGGACATCAAAATCACCCCACCCCACTTAGCTCTGATGCATTTATTAGGGGAGAACACATGATGGGTTATGGACTCAGTGCGAACAAGGCCTGGATGCCTTCCTAAGTGGGATAGGAAAACTGTTCAGATTGTTTGAGGGACTTAGAAACACCCTGTGGGGCAGGGATAAAACTGGGGAGATAATTGGAATTGAGATCCAAGTAAGTGGTGACCCAGAAAGAAGCAGTTTGGGTTAAAGCCTCTGAAAAGAAATTACTTAAACAAAATTACTAAGCCTCAGCCGTTGTTTCTTCTCTCCGTCTCCTCTCTCCCCCAACATGCCTTGGCCGGAGGAAGACCTTATGAACTCTAGAGGGTCAAAGGATTTGAACTTTTTCATAAAATCCTCTTTGCCTTTCAAAGCTCCTCATAACTTACACCCACCCCCCACCTCTCCAAACTTCTTACCTCTTAACCCTCCCAACTACACAATAATCCAGTGACTCTGGCTTCATTCATTCATTCACAGCTCTTCATTCATTTTCAACTAGCTGAAACTCCCTCTTCGTTTCCCTTTAAATTTCCTGCTTTCCTTCAAATCTGAGCTAAAATCCCACCTTTTGCAGGAATCCTTTCCTGAGCCCTCTTAATTCTAGTGCAGCAGTGGGGAACCTGCAGGCTGAAGGCAACATGTGGCCTTCTAGGTCCTTGGGTGAAGCTTTTTGACCGAGTCCAAGTTTTACAGGACAAACCTTTTTATTAAGGGGATTTGTTCTGTGAAGTTTGGATTCAGTCAAAGGGCCAAACTTGAACACCTACAGGGCCACATGTGACCTCGAGGCCACAGGTTCCCCTCCCCTGTCCTAGTGCCTTTCTTCTGCTGATTATTTTCTGTTTATCCTGTATATAGCTTGTTTGTGCATGGTTATTTATATGTTGTCTCTCCCAATTAGACTGTAAACTCCTTGAGGACAGGTGTTCTTTTTTTTTCTCTTTGTATTTGTATCTCCAGCGCTTAGTATACTGCCTTGCACCTAGTAGGTACTTAATAAATGTTTATTGACAATAGTATCCCCAGGGCAACAGTGACTATTGGCAGTGTCTTCATTAGGAACCAAGAATAAATTGTCCTCAGTACAGAAAGGCAGATTCAGGGTTCCACAAGGAGGCCCACAGAAAAGCTACAACTTGCCCAAGGTGAAGGTCATGAGTACCCGCAGGAAGGAGAAAAAAAGACTTCCAGCAAACGTGTATCTAAAGCTTGAGACTGCTTTCTGTTGAACTCTGTATAATTGTACGAGAATATTTCACAGACTTTGGGGTCAGGGGAGAAGAGAGAGTAACGATATGTTATATGTTACCATAGTAAATACTCATTTCTAAAAGCTGATTAAGCCAGGCTGATTAATTGATATTTATTGATAATTGTGGGGGGGGCGTGTGGAGCACTCAAGGGCTGGTGAGCTCTATAGTATTAGAAAGAAACCCTCAATGCTTCATTGCTACCCCTAGAACCCCTAGGAGAGACATAGCCAGCCCTGCTTGGAAGACCCAACTTGTTGGTGCATTTGGGAATTCTAATAAAGACCTCCAAAGTCTATATGTATTACACTGGCATTTAGAACCTCTCACATTCTGGCCCCAGCCCACCTACTAGGCTTTCTTCACGTTTCTCCCCTTCATGCATTCTATCTTCTAGCCAGACTGGCCTATTTGCTCTTCTTTGAATTCAGCATTTAACCTCCTACTTTCTGACCTTTTTACAGTCATCCATGCCTAAAATGTACCTGTCCTCTTAGAATCTGAAGGTTCCTTCTAGGCTCCCCTAAAATACCACGTCCTCTGTGAGACCTTTCCTGATCCCTTTAGCTAGTAACCCTCTTTCCCTCCTCAAAATATCATACCCATTCTTATTGGTTTCCCTGTTGTACCACTCTCTTTCCACTTCATCATACTTCTGACCCATAACATTCTCTCTTTGAGAGTACTCCTAACCCGTAACATTCTCTCTTCGAGAGCAGAGAATATTTCAGTCTTCTCATTGTATCATGAATCCCCAGCAGTGCTGGGGTATAGAGTAGAAACCTTTTGTTCATTAGAGTCAGTTATAAGCAACTTGCCCAAAATCACAGTGAAAGTGGGAAAGCCAACTCCTGAATCAAGGTCAGTATGTTTCTATAAAAAAAAGTGGTTTTGGAGTCGAAAGATCTGGGATTTAATTCCACCTCTATCACTTAGGATCTGTGTGACTGGGTAAATCGCAACTCTGTAAAATAAAGAGGTTTAATGCTTCTAAGATTCCTTTGTAGTTGTAAAGCTATGATCCCATAAACAAGTACAGAGAGGTATCTTAGCTGACAGAAGAAACACTAATTTGGATTTTGAAGGAACCCACATTGGTGGCTATTAGCTTACTCAACAGCATTTTAGCATACTCCTCAGCAGTGGAGTGGGTTTGGGTTTCAGTGTGTATAGAAATGTTTGTACTGTCTGAAGTTAGTGTTCATTCCAGCCAACATTTGATTAATTTGTGGGTAAATGTTGAGCTGTGACCCATGGTAGCAAGAAGGAATTCCATTTTCAACCAAACAAGCCTGCGTGTCTGGCTCCAACCAGTCTAACTTTGGACCTAAAACAAGCAGTTCCTCCTTAATTTTAAAAGGGCACACTGAGTCAGGTTTAATTGGGCTAGCTGTCACTCACAACAAGAGCAAAGTCACTAGAGATCCTTTGTGAAGGCTCCTTAGCAACAAGCCTTGGTGTTCATTGCAAATGAATTTTTTTTTAAAGGCAGGTCTGAACAAGCTCTCGGTTGGTAAGTTTTGAAGGTTATGGGTGAGGTTTCCCTTCATTGCAGCCTCTCAGGCGGTGGGGAAGTTCCAAGGGGATAGTCAATGACCATCTCCCTACCCTCTCAATTCCTAACTCCTCAAGAAAACACCCTCAAATATGAGTCCCTTCTTGATCCTCTCAGCTGCTAGCTCCTCTCTCTCAAGTTACGTTGCATTTACTTTGTACCTG